ATTAATGGATGGGAACGAAATGACAGTAATTTAATCAAAAACTTTGATTTTAAAAATTTAAATCTTAATTGAAGTGGAGGTGTATTGCATTCTACTTCCAGAGAGTTGATAGGAGAGGTTTTCATAGCACCCGTTATGCATCTAAGATTATGATTCTGCAAGACTTCTAATTTTCTTACTAATTGAGAATCAGATCCAAAACATAAAAATCCATATTCAAAGTGACTTCTAACAATTGACTTGTATAACATCAATAATATTTTAGGGTCAATTTTTGATAAACATTTTATGACATTGTAGGCTTTGTAAGCTTTCCCCAAAAGATATTCTACATATTTTTTCCATGAAAGATTATTGGTGAAAATAACACCCAAAAATTTTACTTCACTCTCTACAGGGACAATGACATTATTATATACAATATCAACATTTGTATCACAATCACCAAATACAACTGTTTTAGATTTGTCAGGGCTAATATCTAAATTTAAATAACTGAAATATTCATTTAATTTTAAAAGTGCTCTATTTATAGTAGAGGTTACCTGTTGAATATCAGAACCTGAATAGTAAATGACCAAGTCATCAGCAAATTGCAAGTTTTTTACTTGTGATCCTAAAATGATGTTTAGTTTGTGTACATAAAGAATGTAAAACAATGGAGATAGAATTCCTCCTTGACAGACACCTTTATATGAATAGCGTGGTCCTATTAATTGATTATTAGACTTGACATAAACCTCACGACCATGCAAAAAATTAAAAATCCACATAACTACTTTTTCAGGAAAACCAAGAGAAAAAAGTTCACGTGCTAAAATATGAGGATTTACATTATTGAAAGCACCAACAACATCAAAGAACACACCAATAAGGACTTCATCTTGTTTAAGTGCATCAAAAATGTCTAGTTGAAGATGTGCTATACTCTCTCTAGAGGATCGGCCCCTGCGAAAACCAAATTGATTGGAAGGTAATAGATTATTGCTTTCAATGAAAAATTCAACTCTTTGTTTGAGTAGCTGTTCAAATACTTTTCCCATACATGATGTCAATGCTATTGGCCGGTATGAATTTGCTTTAGTCTTATCTTTATTTGGTTTCAAAATGGGGACCAAACAATCTTTTTTCCAGTCAATAGGTATAACACAGCAAGACCATAACAAATTATAAACTTTTAAGATGATATTCTTTGTTTTATCTGTAGTATATTTTAGCATTTTATAAGGAATACCATCGAGGCCATGAGCTGTATCCCTACGAGTAGAAACTGCAGTTTTAAATTCTTGTATGTTAAATGGCATTTCTAAGTATTTACAATTATGTACAGGATTCCTATTTACAAATGTCAAAGGGACCTCTACGGTATCTGGTGTATATTTTTTGAGAAATTCTGGTACCCATTCACTATATACATTTTTAGATGGAACAGAAATACCATTAAACCTCCTGACAATCCTCCAGAGCTTTGAAATAGGAGTACATCGATTAAGTGATTCACACAATGACATCCAACTTAAGTTCCTTTCCTTTTTTAAAATGAGCTTTTTCAAAGCTTGTAACTTTTTAAACTTAAGGTAACTTTCTTCTGAGAGGTTATGCTTAAATTCGGTATAAGCTTTCCTACAATTATCTACAGCTGTTTTGCAGTTGTTATTCCACCAAGGCAATGAAACACGTTTCTTAAAAGCTTTTAGAACTGATATTTGTGGTTGAACAAACTGTCTACTAGTGTGAGTAACAGACTGCTGCAGCGCTAGATTTAATAATATTACCATATCTGAATAACATTTTAATGGATTAGACTGGTCAAATTGTAAATTGTTATTTAATAAGAAATCTACATTTTCACTATATTTTTGCCAGTCTACTAGACGGAAATTAAAATATGTAGGGAGTGCAAGTAAATTTTCAAATGAGTCTTTATTATTACTAATTTCTAATTTTGTAATTACAGGTAAATGGTAGCTGCCTAAAGGGTCATCAGAAACAGACCATTCACATCTCAAAGCCAAAGAGGGTGATACTAGTGTTAAATCCAAAGCATTCCTTTGCCATACACTAGAGCCAACAGTTGTCAGCTGACCATCATTTAGGAGTACTAAGTTGTTGTCATTGATGCTTTCAATAATATCGCGCCCACGTGAATCAATAGAGCTACAGCCCCATGCTGTATGCCGGGCGTTAAAATCGCCAGCAATCAGCAAAGGCCCAGGGATACTGCTGATTAAATAATCAAGTTTTGATTTAGAAAATGAAGGGTTACAGTTACCTGGACTATATAAAGACACAAGAGAAATTTCTTGATTTCCATAATACAATCTTACAGCTATATTTTGAATTGAATCATCAAATGATGTATCTATCTTATGGAATTGCAAACTATTATGAATAAAAATGGCAACGCCATTATGGCGGTTACCTGAATCTAGTCTAATTATATCATAACTTTTGAGAGTAAACTGAATGTGTGGTTTTAACCATGTCTCAGAAATCAAAGCTACATGAATCTGATTCTCTTGTAGAAAATTTGTTAATAAGTATCTGTGTGCAGGTAAACTCTGAGCATTCCATTGCATTATATTTAAAAAATCCATAAAAAAAAAAAGATTAAGTGTTTTGTTTCTTATTTTTATTTATTGTTTCCAAGAGAGTATCTTTTATACTCTGTGTGGAAATAGCTGTTTCATTGTTTTTGTTCATTGTTATTAATTTGACAATTGACTCTACAACCATATTCAAAATAAAATCAGAGTTTAATAGCAATGCTAGCATATCAGTAGGGCTTTGTTTCAAGGGAGGGAATGATTTATCATTAATTACAGCAGAGTATGTTTTATTCTGAGCCTTTTCTCTATTTAATAATATTTTTTCTTTTTTTACAGGGCACTGTGACGAAATAGCCACATGGTTCCCCTTGCAATGACAACATACAGCATCCTGACTTGATTTTGTACAGAGTTTAAAGTTATGTGACTCACCACATATGGAGCATCGTTCTGCATTCTTACAAAATTTGGCAATATGTCCATACCTCAGGCACTTAAGACACTGCTTGACTGGGGGTATGTAGGGTCGTAATTCGAAACGCCAGCTGTTGAGGTCGACACTCTCAGGTAATACTGGGCATGAAAATGTGATAGAAACTGTCTTTGTCGGCTCCAATTTATTTTCACCATTATCAGTCCTTATTCTTCTCATAAAACGTCGAATGCTTACGATATTTTTTGTAGAAGTCAATGCAGAGTATATTTGTTCATTCGATAATTCTGTGGGCACATGAGTGATGACACCTGTGACTTCGCTAGCTGCTGCCGGAATAGATGCCGACAGGTTGTATGCTTCCAAGAATTTTCTATTCTGTAATGCCGCGTTAGCCAGACCAGGACGTTCAAATACCACACCGATTTTATATTTATTCACTCTTCGCAACTGTTTTACACCTTTGTTATATCGCTTCAAGCAGTTTGCTAATCCCATCATGTCTCGATTACCAATAGGCTGATCAGATTTTGTACTCTCAATGAATACCACATATTCGAAACTTCCGCCTTGTTCTGGGTAAAATCGAACGTAATTAGGGATTCGGAAATCTTTATATTTGTTTAAGCTTTCTTTTTTCTCTTCTAGAGACTGTATGGAGGAGACGTCGCTAAAGTTAGAATCTTCAGAGCCATCTCCATCCACGCCGCCTTGTTCATCTAATTGTTTTTTCCTTTTTCTACTCTTCCTATTCCTCATTTTTTTAATACACTATGTACACACTTATTATTAAAGACTATTCAAAACACTATTCACAATAAATATATACAAAATTAATAAATTTAGTTTTATTCTTTAAAAAAGACCGCCAAGCTCGTCAAACGTTCCCGCGCTTTTTTAATGGCGGTAAATTATCACATTTTGACAATAGTACCAACATAATAAACTTATATTTACCATAGACAACGAGAATCATGTTATTTTTGCATAAAAAAATGGCAGCACTGATCAAAATTGCTGTCAAAATTGACTCATAACCTACAAAAATATTAATTTTCAATAATTTTTTTCTCGAGTTCTATTCGTTTCCGCCTAAAAATATTTCGTGTACGTGTTTTTAATAGTTAATACTTTGCGTGACAAAAATTTCAGCTTGCAACTCAATTACATATAATGGAAAGCTGAGCCACGAAACGTAAATAAATAAATAAAGTTTCGTGCATTAACCCGTAAAAAACTAGTTTTATTTAACAAGAAATATAAACCGTACAGTTATTATTATTATTTCAGGTATCAAAATGTATTTTACCTTCTATACGCAATGATACCACAGCTAGATTTTTTGAATTTGCCGCCATTTTCCAGGCTCATGTTTCGTGTGCCAGATTCTGGGTGTATTCCGAAATATACATCAGTATACTGGCCAGTGGTAATGACGTCACGAATCCGACGCCATATTGTACTAGTATGCTACCATATTTCTACCGGGAAAACGAATATGACGTATGACCGAGCGTGCGTGAGATGCATTCGAATTTTATTTCTTTTTTTTTTAAAGAACATTAATGGCATCAGAACAAAAATAATTCCTTTTAATTGATGAGGTGAATAAAAAATCTCCTTTATTCACACTATTTTTAATATTTCGTCGACTTATGACGTCAGTGCACTGGCCAGTATATTTCAGAACAATTCACCAGTATAGCGTCGATTCATGACGTCATTAGCACTGGCCAGTATACTGTACCCATAGCACGAACCATTAACGAATTCGAATAGTTTGCGAGTGCGAAATGTCAATGTCAAATTTTGTATGGAAAATTGAACAGCAGCGCCACAAAGTACGTAACGAGAACTAAAAATTAGTACACATTTGACAATGACATTTCGGACTCGCAAACGATACGAATTTGATATTGGTTCGTGCTAAGGGTACTGGTATATATTGCGGAATACACTCTCTATATGCTCTAAGATACAGTGTATCGACACCATTAGTGTCTATTCTGAGATGATTCCCTAAACCTAAAATTTAATTTTACAAAAGTGTATCCTTGTCATCCACTATAAGAATGAAAAGGAGAGACTGATATTTTTAGTTTTAAGTTTCGAGAATCATGCCAGAATCGACACCATTGGTGTTGATTCTCTAAATTTAAAATTAAATATAACAATAGTCTCTCCTTTTCACTCTTTACAGAGAATGACAGTGATGCACTGTTGTCAAATTTTTCAAAATCGACACCAATGTATGGTATGAGTATGTTGGTTGATGAATTGTGGTGACGAATGAGGAAAAAAAACCTGGAAATTAAATTATATACCTACTTATAAATTTTACATAGTGATTAACTGTTTTTAAAACAAGCCACGTAAAATGTAGTAAGGAAAGTGGTAGTAATTATCATAAATTATGACCCTAAATATCTCAGTGTGATCTTAGTTCTTTTGAACTTTCTATTAAATATTGTGTTGAATTTCCCTGTAAGTGATTATCATAAAACAACATCACTAACAATACACGAGGAGTGGAGCCCTGTCCCTGCTTGCAGTATTGTTATTGTTATTGTTATTGAAGTACTTTTATGGCAATTGGACTGCAAACACATTTATTGTAGTAGGTATTAATAAGTGGGAATTCCCAATAGTTATGTCGGGTTTGGATGGATCAATTGAGTATGGCTAAATCAAGAGTATTTGTATGGTGGCTTATATGGTGCGTGGCCGCAACTACAGAGCTAGTGCTTGGCAATCTGATGTGTCCAACTGATGTTGGCTCTCGATGTATACTGAAAAGCTCTTCTACTAATGAATATTTCTTTAATGTTAATGGTGAGTTACAGATATTGGTCAGAGTTTATTATAGTTATTAAATTTCACTGTGGTTTGGCAAATAAAACATTTATTGAAGGTTAGCTTGTACTATTTAAACTAAATAACATAATTTGTAAAAATATTTAATAGCTTAGGAATAAACATTTTTATTATTTTATCTTTAAATGGTGGCAAACAAGCATATGGACTGCCTGCTGGTAAGTGGCAATCATAGCCTATAGATGGATGATTGAGAAATTTGAAATATCTCTTGCACTATTGCCTACCCTAACCTAATCCTTTACCCAGTGGAGCCCTGAACCTAACCCACAGGTAGAAACAACACCACCAAAAGGTAGTGAAACGTGTGACGTCACAGAGCTAAATTGTGGTTCACGTCGGTTGAACTTCAGTAGCGTCTCTAAGCACCCGAGCGCTAGAGCTCTGTGACGTCACAGCCACCACATGGCCAGCCGAAAATTCGTTTTGTAAATTGGTCATAGCTTCGTCAATATTTGTACTAGAATAAAAATCTAACTGTTTTATTATATAGAATCCTTATGTCCATAAATCTGCATTCTCAACTAAAATTGTTATAGATCCTCATTGAACTCATCACAAAAATAAACATCTGTAGTGAGATTCAAACCCAGAACCTTTGAGATAGGATGCAAAAGCATTTTTCTTTGCACCAAACAAAACTAGGTAGTTGTCAATGTCATAATTTTTGTCTAATGGAATAATTTCGATTTTAATACATAATGATCAAAATATCAGCAGTTATTCATTTTAAGGGTCTGCGTTTTTCTTCACAAAAGGAGAATGAGCAAAATAGCCCCAGTCCCAGTGCAAGAGCTACTTATTTCAGATTTATGTATTTTTCTAGTGTATTTTATCAATGCATCTAATATTATATTTATTTATTGTTTATTAGCAACACTAACATTGCGTTTATCATACATGGATATACATATTTTGTATTGGTTGTTTACTTGTAAACACGACAATTGTAAGTGTTGACGTCATTCATAATTATGATTTAACTAATATAAATAAGAAATAATAATAAATAAAATTACTATTATAGTTATTAATAATAAACAAATATAATTTTAAGGATTGAATTTTAACTCAGAAAAAATACATATCATTATAATTGTGAAGTTTGTATATTTGTCACACAACACAAAAACGGCTGAACGAATTGGATGAAATTTGGCAAATGTATTGTTTTTTAGGAATGACACATATAATACTTTTTATACTGATAAAATGTAAGGTTAACAAGGGGTTTCTAAAAAGCACAAGTTAACTTGGATAATATATATTGATTTAAACTTTCATGGTCACTAACATTATAGTAATACTTATAAGTTATTTATGGGATTGTTACCATGTACCAGTGCCCAAATATCGGATTACATGGTAACAACCCGTAAATAACTTATATCCCACCAAAAACGTTCTGTAAAAAACTAGCCAAGACTCGTTGGAGCTGCTTGTTAATCTCTAAAAAGTAATGAAATCTAGACAAAGTCGTGCCAAGTCTAAGGTTCCTTACTGCGATTTGTTTATTATTATACTTTGCCGTTGAAGGGTACACAAGGTTACAAAACCAGGTGCTACATGACACGATTGCACCAATCTGTCGCCAGAACTGCTACCCATTGACAATGGAAAATTGCCACTTGGACAACGTTGATGGAATAACTAGTCAATTGTAGACTTGATAAAGTTGCCTGTACACGCAATGTTGCACGTATGAATGCATCGGTGCCAAGTTGTCATGTAGCACCTGGTTTTGTACTCTTGTGTACCCTTCAATGGCCAAGTCACACAACATTAACTATAATAATAAAGAAATCGCAGTAAGGAACCTTAGACTTCGTACGACTTTGTCTAGATTTCATTACTTTTTAGAGATTAACAAGCAGCTCCATCGAGACTTGGCTAGTTTTTTACAGAATGTTTTTGGTGGGATTTCACTTCTTTTTGTAGAAACGTGGGCATATTGATTTATTTTATTAGATTTCCTTATTTGACACCTTTTCTTCCTTTTAGGAGTAGTCTTTTTATTATTACAAATTAATATATTAGTGTAATTTGTTTATTTAATTTGTGTAATATTCGAGTAGAATAAAGTTAATTGTTCGACTATTTTTTCTTGTTAACTCGTAAGTATATATAAAAGCCAGTCTAGTGTTATCCAGAATTTTCCTTTAATTTTATTTATATGCGTAATAAAAGCAGAAGGGGAGGCATTCGCCCAGCGGTGGGACGCTATAGGCTAGATTAAATTAAAAGATGTGTCCCACTACGCTGGATTTTTGCAATGACTATCGATTTTTTTGTGTACCAATAGTAGAAGGGGGCATTACCATATCTCTAATACAGCTGAGACCAGCTGAGGGTTCTTCATCAGATACTTCAGACCTTAGATTTATGACATCAAATGAAGCGGTCCACCAAGATGAATATTTTTTGTAAAGGCTGTATGTCGATCTCTTCTCTAATAGTTTGGTTGGGCTCTTGTGTATTCTAATCAGGGTCACCAGGTACTCCTAATCTTCAATTATCCTAGTTTTTATAGTTTTCCCTTTATGTCGCCATTAAACCCTAACTCTGTACCAAATTTCAGCTCTCTGAGTTTATGGGAAGTACTAGTTCTATTCTGATGATCATGAGTGAGTCAGTGTCATAAATGTGAAACTTTGCTTTCGCTTAACTTCGGAACTAAATGACCTACAGACTTGAAATTTTGGATTTTATGTATGTTATTATAGCTTACTGGATGACGAAAATTTCTGCGTTCCGGTCTTATCCAAGGGTTCTCAAATAGGGGCCTGAAAATGCGGCGAAATGGTTCCAGTAAAGGATGCTACGGCAGTGTTTGCTTCGCGCTCGACTTGGCGGGGGCACTGCCGTGCAAAAAAACAGTCAAGTGCGAGTCGGATTCGCGCTTGGCTGTTTTTTTGTTAATGTTCCGTTTTCTTCTATACAATATTAGGCACTAGATTAAAATATCAAGCATAAAATGTTGTTTGTCGTATGGGAGCTCCCCTCAAATGTTTACTTATTCTTTTTAATTTAAAGTGAACAACTTATTATTTTGTGAATATTTCAAGCAGATACCTATTACCGCTTAATAACGGCAATAGGTATTAATAAAGATAGGTATCTATTAATATACAGAGCGAAAAAAGACAAAAAGTCACATTTGTTGTATTGGAGCATTCTCTTTTTCTGAGATACAACCAGGTGTCAGACAGAGAGACGGACAGTGGAATATTAGTAATAGGGTCTCATTTTTACCCTGTGAGTACGCAATCCTAAAACGAGATAATGCCAGTTCTGCCATATTTGTAGCGGTAACTATGATTCTTAATGCATTCGCCCTTTTGTTTTTGTCTGCATAATATCTATTCCTTTCTTTTAACATTCCATAGTACAGGATTACCTGTATTTTTATTATATTAAGATATTTCTAATAGAACATAATCACGCTCGGTAATAATGTCGGCGTTATACGCCAATGCCACGTTTAGATCCTCCATCTTCAATCAGTGTTACCAGCCCTTACCAAAATTTTCCCCTAAGTATTTTTAAATTCCTCTAAAATCCCCTAAATATAGAATTTTATATGTACCTACTTATTACCCAAATTCTTTCGTTGCTCATAAATTAAAACGTTACATATTTATGTTTTTTATTTATTGAAGTTATACTTCTTTAGGCGCGTTATGAAAAAATGATGAGTGAAATTTTTAGATGCGCGCGCATCACTGTAACCCAAACGTAACAGCATGAAGTTGGTCGCGGGCGCGTTATGAAAAAATCATGTGAGTGAAATTTCGAGATGCGCGCGCATCACTGTAACACAATAGTAACACCATGAAGTTGGCCGCGGGCGCGTTATGAATGTTAGTGTCTAATAATGGTGGATTATTAACCGCTTAGTGGTTAATAATCCACCATTATTAGACATCTGTTCGAAAGGTACTTTGAACGATCCACGGAGCTCCATAAGATGATCGCGTTGTCAAAAACAATGTTGGCACGCTCGTCGCCTCTGATCACTGTTTTCATATTTATAATATTTATCCACATGTTTCTAGTTTCTATATAGACACAACGTGTTTTAGTAACTTACAAGTGCTAATTACATATGGACTAATAACTTAAATTCAGTAATGATTTTAATTGAATATTTATTTAATTTTTCAAATTTAAACCGAACTTAATTGACTGTGTTAACTATCCTTTTCCAGTCCTTTTATTATTTTATTGTAACTATTAATAATTTGCATGCAATTAAAAAATATTTTTAATGATGCTAAAGAAGTATAACTTCTCACGCGCGTACATAAGTTACACGCATCCATTTTTTTTAAGCATTTAACTGCTAGATGTCTAAATCTAAAGAAAAGTTTACTAGAAAAAATCCATGCTGACCAGGCAGCGGACGGGACTCGAACCCGCACCCTTCGCAATTTTTTTTCTAGTAAACTTTTCCTTAGTTACATATTTAGTTACAGTAAATTATTTTATTGAATAAATACAGTTTCAGACAATCAAACGAAAATGAGCTGACAGGCTGTTAAATGTTATTGAACTGTTTTTTAACTTTAGTCCATACAGCCTTAGGAAACAACCCGCCACACAGTCAGTTCAGTCGTTTCATATCGTGGTGCGTTGCATTCTACGCACAAAACTGAAAGAAAACACACGCTTCGTTTTTCGATTTAATTGCAAGTTTTAATAAAAACCCCTAAAAACCCCCAAAAAATTCCATCCCCTAAAAAAGTCCGTTTTAACACTTCTAGCCCCTAAATCTGGGGGCAAAACTCCTAAGTTGGAAACCGTATCTTCAATGTTGCGGCCGCAAATGAGCAAAACTTGTCAATTGTGATCAACCTCCTAGTACGCTTGACGGTAACGGTAGGTAGCGTGAAGTCAACGCGGTAAACGATCAATATTCGCTTCAATGACGTACACTTGACACGTCGAATTAATCGTCTCCGGAATCTATACTAGTTGGTTTAATTGATAAAGCGTCAAATAGATGTGAATAGATTCACAATCACATTAACAAATAAAATGTTTTTTGATGTCTAACATTTTTTTTCTCGCTTTCCTGCAATTTGTGGGAGTGATTTCGTGAATTGGGACGGAAGTGTGTAACAGGAAGTCGCGAAAGCGCGCGCTATTTGATTTGGTTTTAGAACATAATGTTCAAATGGCTTATTCTTTTTGTAGTAGGTTTTATTTCTTTTTTTACTAATATAAGCTGAGGTTTCAAATGTTACACATCATTCGCGACTACTGTAAGGCTCGCTCGTTTTTTTTCTTATAGTGATATTATTGTAAATTTCTGGATGTTAATTTTACGTATTTTTTTTATCAACAGGTTTTGATGAAATGTACGAAATTAACGTGGGGAACAGTTTCCGGATGTCATGTGCCAAAACTCCCCTCAATGACGCAGCCTGGCCGCAATTTTCAACTGAAACTGTATTTCGTAGAGTATATCTGAAACACTGCGCGCCGCCATCGCCGCCCGCTACTTATACGACTGCTTTGCGACGTCTCAATGTGACCGTGATCGATAAGCTCGTATTAGATCCATTACCGGCGGGAACGCGAGTCACGCGCACCTCGCTCGTCGACCTGCCGCGTACAGTCAGCACATTGGAAATATATGCTGGAGTGCAATCACCGCCTCTCCCTATGGACTCGGATTTGTTCGATGCGCTCGATCAACTGCGAGCACTTAAGCTGTTTGGCGTGAAACCCGGTCGTATGCCGCCGCGTCTCGAGCAGCTGACGATTCGCAAAACCGGCCTGCTCCGACTGCCCGAACCTCTCGAATACCTGGAGACACTAGAATTCAGCGATAGTAATCTGGAAGTTGAAGCTCAGATGGAGAAATTGACGAGGCTTCAATCGTTGACCCTGACGGTGCCGCTATCGGCGGTTCCGGCTCTGCCGCCGAGGGTGAAGAAAGTGAGTCTAATGACGATCAAGGATCGGTCGCCGGCGCCGTTCCGGCAGTGCGCGCATCTGGAGTCCCTGACGATGGTACACGTGAAGGTGTCGCGGCTGCCGGCGGCGTGGGTGGCGGAGTGTCCTGTGCTGTGCAACTTGACCCTGAACTGGCTGATGGATCTGACGGAGCTGCCGGCCGGCTTTCTGAACGGCACCAACGAGCTCCAAAGGCTCCAGATCAAGAATAGTCAACTCAAGACGCTCCCGGCGGACCTCTTTAAATACTCTCTGCGCTTGAGGGAGATCGACCTGTCGTCCAACATGCTGGAGTCTCTTCCTAAGTACGTACTTCTATATTTATATTGCCCTTTATTTTAAACTTGTAGAAGTTAAACTTCTTTAGGCGCGTTATGAAAAAAAGATGAGAGTGAAATACACTCATAAAAATATAAAACTGTTCATAAAAATATAAAGTCCAGTTTTATAAACTCAAAAAACTGAACTTTATTGACTGTGTTAACTATCGTTTTCCAGTCCTTTTATTATTTTATTGTAATTCATTATTTGCATGCAATTAAAAACTAATTTTGAATGATGCCAAAGGAGTATAACTACTCACGCGCGAACATAAGTACACGCACCCATATTTATTTTTATAATGTTACGAAATTTCTGTAATTCCAACAAAATTCCAATCAATTATAATAGGTAGCTCCCGGCAGTTGGCCATTCTGTATTTGGGTTGGGAAACCATAAGTTTATAATGGTACCGCAATAACATTTCAACGTTGCGTCAACAATCTGGGTCTCCTCATAAACTGTTCACTCAGCTGGGAATATCAAGTCGATGAAGTATTCCGCAAAGCTTAGTGCACTGTACAGATTGAAATTCTCTCCCCTCCTTTGGACCAATCGCCGAACGGATTTGCTATGGCTATCGCTATAACTTACCATTTTATTTCGTTATTTCTGCTTGTCGAAGGTTTTCAAATACCTTACGCTCATTTTCTTTTATGTTGTTGTTACCAATACAAAAGAAAAATAAAGAGGGTTGGGCATTTGAAAACTTTCTGCGGTCAGAAACAACGAAATGAAAACTTAAGCGAAAGCGATAGGCATAGCAATTCCGTTAGGCGATTGGCCCACTGACTCTCGTTCTTCCTATCCTTGACTATGCTCACTTCTGCTATTCCGACTCCGATCAAAACCTCTCTAAATTGAATCGTTTGCTCAATAGCAGTATTTGCTTTATATTCGGTGTACGTAATCCGACCAAGAAAGAATTTTCCTAGCCTTAAGCTGCAAGGCAGCACCATCTCTTCTCTCTCTTCTTTATTGTAGGTAACCCACAATGTCAAATGAATACTTTTTCAAGTATTAAACATTTGAAAGAAGAAATAGCAATTATAGTTTGTTTTTATTTATTTTTTACGCATTTAACTGCTAGATGTTTAAATCTAAAGAATAGTTTTATGATAGGAAAAAACGTTATTTTTTTAAAACTAAACTTTTCTTTATTTGCATGCAATTAAAAACTAATTTTAAACGATGCCAAAGAAGGATAACTTCTCACGCGCCTACATAAGTACACGCACCCATTTTTTTAAATTTTTGTTTTTATATATTTGACCTGAACTACCATAAACTACTACCAGTTCTAAAATTGGGAGAGCTTTCTGAGAAGAGCTGGCGAAACAAACTCAGAAACGCTTTTTCTCTCTGTCTTATGTCGGAGTTTGTTTCGCCAGTTCTTCTCAGAATTTTGGACGGGTGGTAGTTTAGGTCTTAGGTATATTTTTTCATATATTTTTGGTGTTTTTCTACTCATAAATGCATGATAATACCTAGGGTACAAAATTGGGCAGAGTTGTAAAGAAAAAAGAATTGATCCATCATTCCATAAGTAGTTGTTTTGAAGTTGGTGTTGCGTATAAGACACAGAAGGAGAGGAACGAGTGGGTTAATACGGAATCGTCGTGCAAGACTAACTTTTATGATTAACACACAACAACAATCGACACATTTCTCAAAAAGTGCATTTACGAAGGTTGTATACATTGTTCATAGTTCAAAATTACGCGCCATATTATTCTAGACGAAGATGTAGCGGCCAAATTGGAATTTCTTGGACTGATGATAACATTTTAAAGTCGGGGTAAAATCTGTTTCCCTAATAGGTTACAGGGGTAGCAGTATTGGAAATGTTAGGAAACACTGGTCTACTCGTTTGTAATAACCAAGTTACCGCATTAATATCCTATATACCTATATAAGTATTGTGTTGTCGTCGTTGTAGCGAGTTGTTCGTGCTTGTGGCGTCGCGCCTGCAGTCGCTGGACCTGTCCGACAACCGGCTGCACGCCGTGTGCGACGCCGTCGAGCATCTCGCCGCGCTGCGTACGCTCATTCTGTCGGAAAACCCGCTGCTCGACCTCTGCCCTTCGTCGAATAACGATTTATTATACAAGGGTAAGCTCGATCTTCATCATCATTATCAGACCTTATTAATGTGCTCCCTGCTGGGGCACAGCTTGAGATGCAAATAAACAGTTATTTTTCTAAAATGTGAAAAAAAAAAACTTTTTTTCTGGAGCATGTTTTTACGTGTACAGAATTCAAGGCGAAAATCGTTTAGTTTATTTGAAGTATGAACGCAGTTAGCGTAATTTTTGAAAGCATATTGTGAAATCAGACATAATATTCTCGAATAAAATATACATTTATCAAAGATCGTTGTCTTGAAAAAAAAATACAATGTGCCTATACACACCATAAAAGTTAGCTATCACTTTGAAAAATAGATTGCTTTTTGTTTTACAGAAGAATTTTTTGTAATTGTTTTTTTTTCTGATAAGATTCTAAATTTTAAAATTAGAATAAGAACGTAAAATAATTCAATTGTTTTTCCATATAAAAAGACGTGCGATCCAAGCTAACACTCATTCAGAAATCTGACTGAGTCAATCGTATCGATTTTTTTTTTCACGGAAAGTTGTGACGTAAAAAATGCCACGAGGATTACCAGATGTTTTATAATTAAAATAATTAGAAATATGTTTTTCTAATATTAGAAATACGAAAATTGATCGACGAAATACAGCTTAATCGATTGTTATGAACCCTTTGTGATGAGACCTTTGATTTCTGCCCCATTATGCCTCGATACCAATTATGTCAAGAAACATTAAAACTGCAAACTACAAGGAAAAGCAAAAAATACATACTGTAAAGTGCAGGTGGCAAATAGTAACAATAATATAATAATTTATAATTAATCTTTATTCAGTATTAATTTTTACATATAAGTGACTTAGATCTAAGATAAAAACACAAAAGACAAAGAAAAATACATAGCCTGAACTAGGAATACCCTGTGTTTCAGGACCTTAACTACTTTGAATAATCAATCGCACAATAAAATAATAGTAAAAACAAAAATACTAAATCTACATAAAATTATTCAGTAGGTATGCAAAAGGACATTGTTCAGCGTCCATACATAGTTAGCCTAAGAACCAACAATCATGAAATATTATTTTCTAGGTTCATAATCGTAAGTAAATGACTGTAAAAACAAAGATTATTGACGGACACTTCTGAGAACTTCAATTATTAGGAAAACTAAATTTTTTTTGAGGTTATGTTTGATATTCAATGAAACATAGGTCAACCTATGAATTTAGTATTAACTCAGTATGAAGTGAATTAATATTACACCTAGTTAATTCATTTTATTCGGTGCGATTTTAAAGAATAACTGTTAGGAAAAACTTGGTTAGGTAGGAATCATGAATAAAATAAAAACTGTAGTTTTGCTTCTTATTTACTGACTATTTTTCACATAGTTGTATCATATTGTTTATTGTATTTATTTGTATATCACATGTAGGTATATTGTGTAAATATGCAGCGTGAATGTGTATCAGGTGTTCTTGAATAATTTGGCAGTATGATCCTCTCAGGATGTTGTGGCACAGGTTCACTAGCACTTGGTAGAAAGGGCTCTGCTCTTTGGTAACATCGATGGCATATTAGATAGCCGAAATAGTTAAATTAAAGGAAAAATAATCGCAAATAAACACACACAACAGGTAATCCGAAACGAGATTGCACTTTCCGGTTTATTAAACTACTCTTTGGAATCACAGATCACTATAAATGGTTTGGAATGCACGAATGCCACAGATTACTACATGCAAACTGCATGCACCAGAACCACAGAGTAACGAGTTTTATGCCGGCCCTTCACTTGACAACAGTTTGTCCTTGTCATGCTTAATAAGGAATGAAAAGGACACACTGATGTCATGTTTTAAAATAGCAAATACGAATAGCCAAGTGAAGTGCCGGCATTAGGAAGAAAGAGTGTTTTATTTGCAGTGCTGCCATAGATTACGGTACCTAGCTAATGGTATTTATTGTCTCAGATTATTTTTAAAATTTTTAATTTAGCTTACTTAACTGGAAGTGTCCGTCGCAATCTAAATACTGATAATTATCGCAAAAAATATACTAAGAATTATCATAAAAGCCAAATTGGTGTTGGTTCTTAGGCCAATTTTAACATTGTCTTTTCGCGTCATCGCAGAGTTGTAAACTGGGTCAATACCGCTCATTACTTCGTTATATTATTATTTGTATTTATTTGACATACATATCGGCGTTCGTATTATCTAAGATTTTATTTACATATATTAAAAATCAAACAACTCTCAAGGGTTATCTTTTTTGTCTTTACTATAACTGTACAATTCACATTACAAAATACTTTATCCCTTATCTTTTCGTTTTCAACTATTACGCACTTTTCAAGCAGCCATCCCAGATATTCTGTCCACAGATTAGCCCGTCCACAGATGTTCGAATATTGTCTAAAATACTCAGATTTCGTTTCGTTTTAACTGTGTCATCGTATTTGAAGTACTGTTCTATGTTCATAAATAAGAATAAATGTTGTAATTGCTAATACATACTAAAAGTCATACTAAAAGAAAAGTGCTAAAATATAAGTAACTGGTGGCTCAGGCTCCTTCATAATCTATGGAGTTGACATAGCGTTTTTCGGCCATCTTTTTGGCAGGACAGTCAGCATCACCCGTTTTATGCTTGCACGGTTTTTTGAAATGCGGACATGTTGCACATTTTGGTGGTTCGGCTTTGACCGCAGTGACCGCAGGTGTTGTTCTCTTCTCAACATGTTTTGGCTGCGTGACCATACTGCTGACACCTGTAGCACCTAGTTACTAGGCTTGTTGAAAATATATCGATGTATCGATATATCGATATTTTTTCGCGATATATCGAATCCGATATTGATATTTATTAAAAGATCGATGTATCGATATATCGATATTTTTTTCAACATTCGACATCCCTACTAGTTACTAAGGTAGTCTCTTACCGGGCACGAAGACCGGTTTATATACACTCTCTCTTTATTTATGAGGGTCTTCCGTACGTTTGCTGGAACTTCTATAATATAATTGCAGCTTTCGGCGTCCTTTTTTCCAGGCTTACAGCTTAGTTTGATAGAGGACACAAATGAGTCAAGTGTTATGTCTTTAAGTATATCGGCTACGTTTTGTTTGTGTAAGCTTTTGAGTACTTCCGGTTCCGGCAAAGCTGCTGGTACTCCAATAAGGACAATTCTGGGCTTCCGTTTAAATGTGTCGCCCACAGTGAGGCAAGAGGAAGTAAGTTGCGTCGACTGCTTAAGCTTCTCGATATCATCCTTGATCTCAGTGCTGATGATGACACCGCCGTTTATCGTCTTGCGTTGACCCTTGATGTGCAGTTTCATCTGCTCAGGTTTGATGATTTTCTGGAGAAGGGACTTGGTTTCTTCGCTTGACTTTAACTTATTCGTGGGATAGATAGTAACCGAGCTTATAGTTTTGGGCTGGACTACATTTTTCTTAAGCATATCAGCAAAGGAGATAGTTCCTGCTACTGATCTTGAGGTCTCAATGCTCTCTTTCAGATCCTAGACTCGTTCAGAGGAATCATGTTTCTCTTTAAGGGCTTGGAGTGTTATATGGGTCTGCATCGTATTTTGCTTTAGCGATTGGTACTGCACGGCCATTTGAGACGTCCCATGGGACACTTTACGGCATAAATTATTAATTCTGAACTTTTGGTCCGAATTCAGCTTCCCTTCTGTTGCAATAGAGCATATCTCATTGAGGCATAGCTCAATGGTTTTCATCCAGTTTAGAACTTCGGCGGTGGAGACGATTCTGGAGCAGGGTCCTCCTGTAGGGCTGGCGCGGTCGGTACTGTCTCACGTGTGTGAGTGGGTATCGCGCTGCGGCACGTTAGCGCACTCCGGTTAAAGGGGCTGTCCATTTTATTTGCTCTTATAAAACACCATACATTTTAATAAACACACTTAAAACAATATCTAATTCACTATGTACTGATTGACACAGATCAAAGCGCTTCCGCAATGGCTAGCTAGGTCACGATTATGCAATTGATCATTTCACAAAATGATATTTAAATTAACACGATAGAATAAACAAACACGTCCTATCACATCAGCGGTCGTATAATCTCCTATAAAATATATGTTTATATGGCTTGCGAGAAGAACGCCTAAGCAGTCATTCCGCAGCGTGCAGGACAGCTCCCAGCGCGAGCAGTCCTGCGCACATCTGCGGGATCACCCGAGATACCCCGGGTGTCCCCCGCCGTGGAGCCCCGGCTAGCCCGGGAAGCTGTCAGGTGCGGAGACGCGGGGAAATCCCTCAAGGGAGATCTCGCGGCTCCGCACTTAACAGCGTAGAGGGTATTCGCAGGGTAGATGGCGAATATATATCTAAGCGAGGCTATTATTTTTTGACACGTTAGAGAGGTCGTGCCTGAAGGAGGCGCGTGACCTGGAGCTGCTGGAATTGAGCAAAGTGGGTGCCACCCGTATCTGCGCCGACTGGCTGCGGGACATGCATTATCTGGCACGCCTCGACCTTACCGGCAACAACATCACCACCTTGTGGGTGAGTCTTTCACGCACACACACACACACACACACACACACACACACACACACACACACACACACACACACACACACACACACACGCATACGCACGCATAATGAGCGTGTATATTGTTTGTATATTGTCATATTGTCAGAGGTGCCAGCAGGCGGGTGCCGGCGCCGCCACACGTATCTATCAGGCACGCATCAATATATTGAGCGTGTATATTGTTCGTATATTGTCAGAGGTGCCACGCCGGTGGCCAGCAGGCGTGTACCGCGTCCATACAATGCCCGTCTAACATACTGCCGGCGGGCAACGAATCTATAACTATGGATAAGATTCAATTCAATTCAATATATTTATTGTTTCATGTGGTAATTACAAGTTCTTAGATTTAGAGTCGGATCCAAACATGATTCCCTGTAAGGGCACTACAATATCAATATACATAAAATAAACAAAATACACATAATTATAATCAATCACATTAAAATTTTAGATTACAAGTACCTGCTACCTTTCAACAAAAAACTCTTGCATACTATAGAAGGTTTTATTCAATAAATATTTTTTCAAAATTTGTGCAAACTTTTTAACGTTTTGTTCTACGGTTATATATTTAGGTAATTTGTTATAGATTTTAATTGCGTTTATTTGTGGACCTGAACTATGGATTTTAAGACTTGATGAGGGTAAGGCTAAATTATCTTTGTATCTCAAATTTATAGATGTACAAGAACAGTCCTGTTTTTGGGGAAATAATGGAGGATTTTGTTTTACAAACTTTATTGATTGGCCTACTGGAGCAGAAACTAGAGTCCTCACTATCAGTTTTCATGGATAAATTTCGACTTGCTATTAAAGAAGACGTTAAGATTCTGATTCGAGATGAAATTAAAGTCGCTATACAGGAGATCAAAAATGACTTTAACTCCACTATTAATTTTCTCAGTGAAGAACAATCTTGTCTAAAATTGCAAATTAATGCTAAGAGCGAAATTATAAAAAATTTGGAGGTCAAGAATATTCAACTGCAGAACGATATCCATAGGTTAAATAGTCGTTTATCTAGTATTGAAAAGATGTCTCGTAATAACAATATTGAATTGCAAGCTGTACCTGAATCACGGAAAGAAAACGTAGTGATCATTTTCAAAAAGTGATGCGCTGCTGTCAATGTCCAAATCGATGACTGGAACATTTTTGCCTGTCGAAGAAGGGCGAAGATGAATGCAAAGACAAGTCGTCCAAGGAACATTTTAATTTCATTGTCTTCTCCTCGTTTGCGGGATACCATACCTTCTCATGTAAGTCGATACAATAAAGCTCACTCTGAGGATCCGCTGAGCTCTAACCACCTTGGCATATCTGGTGAGACACGCAGAATTTATGCTGTAGAACATCTTTCGCCAGAATGTAAGTTGCTCTATGCTCAAACAAAAAAAGTTGCAAAAAAGAAATGTTACAAATACGCATGGGTTAAGTATGGTCGAATATATGTCCGCAAGTGTGACGAATTCATATCGCGAACGAATCGTCTTTGGAGAAACTGTAATCACCCATATATTTTTATCTGTTACCTATTTTTTATGTTATTAGTTATACTTTGTACTTTTGTGTGTTAATTATGATTATTTTTTATCAGAATGTTAATAGAATAAGAAGCAAGTTAGGTCATCGTAGTTTATCTCTACCTTCACATGATATTCAATCGTCTGTCTTATATGTCAGCTATACATACATATGTCACAATAGAAAACCGCAAGATTTAATATTAGACTAGCAAACCAGTGAACCAAATGTTCACCAAAAAAAAAATGTATTTAATTAAGTGTGTGGTTTCGTTTGAAATAGAAATCACGTTATTTCTCGAAAACCGGAAGTGCTACGTTGCTCAAATCCGGTTTGTAGTCTTATCAGACTATTCTTAACTTATAACTTAAACATTCTCTTTATCTATCTCTTACGGTTTGGCCTCTGAAACAGCACCACGGACGGTCGGACGGACTTGTCTAATAGATAAGAGATTTACATTTTTTTTTAATGTCAGGTTTTTTCATTTATATATAATTGTAACTACGAGGACCTGGATGGCGCAAGTGGTTAGCGCGTTCCGCTGCGATCATTGAATTTAAGCAACTTTCGCAGTGGTCGGTCATTGGATGGGTGACCAAAAATCTTCTTACTCGAGTTCCTCCGTGCTTCGGAAGGCACGTTAAGCCGTTGGTCCCGGCTGCATCTGCAGTCGGTAGCACCCGCCAATCCGCATTGGGCCCGCGTGGTGGGTCATGGCCCTATCTCCCTATTCCATCCATAGGGAAGGCCTGTGCCGCAGCAGTGGGGACATTCATAGGCTGATGATGATGATGATGATGTACCTACACATTAGAAATCGCTAGTGAGTGCACACAGAGCCGTTTTAGAAATTCCTAGAGTTAGTAAATCAAATGTAACCCGCTTGGTCCTTTTTTTGTGACGCAGGCAAAACCTCTGTTTACAGACGACGGCGCCTTTAAGAGGCACACCCGCCGAACGGTCTTCACACCTGGCTCCCGCAAGCCTTACGGGTCCCCGCAGTAAAACCCTGCGAATACCCTCTAATGGTAGCCATACACACTACGAGAAATCTTTACGATCAGACTACATTTCGACCGGAACAGTTTATCGTACGTGGCGTACTGTTAGGCGGCCGGCGCTGATCGTCTTTTTAAAAAAAACCCAAAATTCCCGGATATGAATTTAATGATTTTTGATATACACAATTACACACGCGAACTCGAGTACCAAGTCCTGAGCTACCCGGATGGACCGTTCTTTCCCGTTGCCAAAGTCTAACTGCACTGGGAACTGATGGAATAATGTGAGGGCTGCGTTAATGCAACTCTGCAGTTTAATTCTATGGAGAATTACAGTTATACACGTTTTGTTGAATTAGCATCCTATGGTTACTAAGTCGGGTTATAACAGTACGTATAGGAAACTGTGCAGTTTTATGCAGCTACGATTTATCGGTACCGTTCGGACGGTACAGTCTAGGCCAAAGGGGAAGATCTTCCTCCGAGCTGGGTGATGTTAGCTCGGGGGCCGCGGCCCGACTGATATTAGTCGGGCATCGTATATATGAAGAGTTAGTCTCCGAATTTCATTTGCGCGATGTAGGCTTCCATACTATTAAGATCGCAGTGCAGGTAACGCCATCTCTTGAGGATGGTGAGTAATGATTTCCTCCATCTGTTGTATATATGTGGGGCATATAGATGTCGCCGCCACAAGTCTAATCGTAACGATTTCTCGTAGTGTGTATGGCTACCATAAGCTGCTTAGTGCGAAACCGTGGGATCCCCGTTAAGGAATTCTTCTGTTTCAAAGACGCCCACACATAATTTGGGCAAGTCGGCTCAGCGAACCCGCCGAGGAATATGATATATTGAACGAATTTAATTTTTACTCAGATCACTAGGCTGTAAGCTTCTCTAAATGTAAATCGTTGTAAAATTATTCGTGTGTCTGCAGCTCAGCGACCTGAACAGTTTGAAACGCAACCAGAACTCGGTGATAGACCTGTCGAGGAACAACGTGAGCACCCTCGACGCCAACGAGAGGGACTACAACATTAGCCTTTATGAGATGCAAAACGATAAGGTACCTCACCCTTTTTTTATGTCTAAAAATGCTTTACGCATTCTCCGTCCACCGGGAGACCCAAGCGGAGATATCCGGTACCCCCCTGCCATTTCTACCAGCCCTGCGGCTCGGAGAAATAAGTAGGAGACCTACTCTATTTCAATGAAAAACTAAATTTCGATCGATATTTCGCACGTTCATTCTCATTTCGAAAATTCGCTTGTCCGAAAATTGTTTGGCAATTAAATTCTCCAAGCCTAGAGTAGGCTTTTGCAATTTATGATCTACGCGACGTTCCTTATTAATCTATCCTTTGAGACGGGACGTTTCCCTGGTGCTCTCAAGTACTCGATAGTAAAACCTATGTATAAAAAAAATGATAAATCTGACATTAGTAATTATCGCCCTGTTACATTGATACCGGTTATATCTAAAATATTTAAAAAATCTATGCAAGAGAGATTAAAATTTTTTTTTTCAATCTTCGAACATAATAACACTGGTTCAATACGGCTTTTAGAAGGGGAAGTCCCTCATATAATTATACATAAACTTCTAACATCACTCCCTGAAATACAGGGACCTTCTGCGTTATTTAACTCCTACCTGATGAACCTTACGCAAACATAACAGTTGTTTAGTATCAGAGAAATATAGTTTTACTAATCCTTTAATGACGTATCGCACATAACGATCGATAGTTTCAGAATCCGATATCGATAATCGATATATGGTTTGATTCGGAAAATAAGCTATACGCGTCATCCCCAGCCGCTGCAGGTGATGCTGACCTCGGAGTTCTCGTGCGACTGCTCCTCGTACTGGTTCTGGCGGGCGGCGCGCGACCGGCGCGTGCCCGTGGGCGCGCTCTGCGCCGGCGGCACGCCGCTCACCGAGGTGCCGGCCACGCGGCTGGTGTGCGAGCTGCCGGCGCCCGAGTGTGGCGGCGCGGGCGCGGCGCTGTGTCGCTGCTGGAGCGTGCCGCACGCGGGGGGGGTCCGCGCCGTGTGTCCCCACCCGGCCCCGCCCGCCCTGCTGCGCCGCGCCGACCTGCGCGCGCTGGTGCTCACAGGCGCCGGCCTCCGCGCGCTGCCCGCCCGCCTGCCGCCCCGCCTCGACGTGAGTGCCGCGCCCATACATATAGTGACCGCGCCCATAGATATAGTGACCGCGCCCATAGATATAGTGACCGCGCCCATACATATAGTGACCGCGCCCATACATATAGTGACCGCGCCCATAGATATAGTGACCGCGCTGACCTGCGCGCGCTGGTGCTCACAGGCGCCGGCCTCAGCGCGCTGCCCGCCCGATACCCAGCCGCATGTTCGAAATCGTCATATTTTGTGATCATCTTAAAAAAATACAATTTTTAATATAACACACATGGCGGAGGTATCTTTTAAAACATAAAGCTCAATGTTTCATATCTGCCAGGAGTGTCCCGCGACTGCTCAATTTTTATTATTATTGTGTGAAGGTCGGTTTCATAACTTTCGCTTGCACAGACCGTACACTTTGATATAATACCCGTTGTTGACTAAATAGAGTTTAATGTAATGTAAATTTTATATTGGATTGCCGATCATTCAATCTGAATTTGCGTCAGACTAATCTTTTGTTGAAAATATTAATAATGTAAGCGGTTAGAAATTGTAATAATATAACTTACATATTCACTATATTGCAACACAATCAGACAGTTACCACAATTATATAATATTTAAAGTCTTTAGTATACCTATAGAGTATAGATCTAGGTACTATCCTTTAAATAGTGCTGACAGCATGTGAGTGTAGAGACAGCGGACAAAACGTTTTTTATACTAACATATTATGATAATGTTTAGTACCTGGACGTGAACAACAACTCGATATCGCGCGCGACCGCGGAGGAGGGCGCGGCTCTGTTCCGGAGCGCTCGGCGCGTGCGACTCACCAATAACCCGCTCGCCTGCGACTGTAACCCGCACTCTATCCTGCCCATACTGCGCGCCCACACCGACCAGGTAACGCATACCACGGCGCGTGCGACTCACCAATAACCCGCTCGCCTGCGACTGTAACCCGCACTCTATCCTGCCCATACTGCGCGCCCACACCGACCAGGTAACGCATACCACGTCCGTTTAAACTTTATATAATCTTCTCCATAAGCCCGGGTTCACCCATCGTCGGGTATCGGCCTTTTCATGGTTTCACCACGCGACCCGATTCCTCGCTACGCGCATTTAGTTCTCGCTCACTATCGAGCGCATAAGTTGTTTTCCTACTTTTCTTTGGCTAGTTCTCGGTCTCCACTCGGCAATCATACATATTTCATCTCTATTTCATTCCGACCACTACTAGACTGGTGTCGGTCATTTTAGTGCGCTCCCTGATTTCCAGGTTAGGGATACGATTCGCAAGCGAGATATAGAGTTTTGCAAGTTTTATTACATAATATTAATATGGTCGAAATCGATTCGCGACAATATATAGATCTGAGATAATTAAATATAAAGCAACATCGCTCGCAACTACGTAACCAACGTTCCGGACCATATCAAATATTTTTGTGATCCGCATGCGATTTCGTTCAGAACCTTAGATTAAAACAAAAAGGGTAGATACGGTACGCTCATACTTGCATCAAACAAAAGCTGATCCCACGGCAGCGCGAACGGGACGGCGAGATCCGCGTCACTGCATTACCGACCCGAACGAAACAGCACGTTAAGTTTCAACGGCAGCGCGAACGAGACGGCGAGATCCGCGTCACTGCACTACCGACCAATCACGCGACCAGTACTCGACGTCACTACCGAATAAGATTCAAAACAAACAACATTTTTTATGAAAAAGTATATTTTATAGTACTTACGAATGAAAAGTGATGCTGTGGGTGTTATTTTTAGTTCTTGAGCAATTTGAGCACTTTTTAAAAACACACTTAGGCATTGTTTTATCATATAAACACAAAATATTATCAATATTTCTTTTTGGCGTTCACATGTACGTCGGTTGCATGTCAAGTTGTGACTAAAGCGATTAGGGTCGTGGACCACAATTCATGCGGATCACTTTTGTGAGGCTAGTGCCGTATCTACCCTTTTTGTTTTAATCTAAGTTCAGATCATTTTTTGGTGGTTTTATGAACACAAAGACAAAGTGTTTAGAGACACATGAGGCGGCGAGAACGAGGAGCTCGATGGCGCAAGTGGTTAGCGCGTTCCGCAGCGATCGTTGAATTTAAGCAACTTTCGCAGTGGTCGGTCATTGGATGGGTGACCATAATTTACTATCTTGAGCTCCTCCGTGCTTCGGAAGGCACGTTAAGCCGTTGGTCCCGGCTGCATCTGCAGTCGTTAGCACCCACCAACCCGCACTGGGCCCGCGTGGTGGGTCATGGCCCAATCTCCCTATTCCATCCATAGGGAAGCCTGTGCCCCAGCAGTGGGGACATTAATAGGCTGATGATGAAGTTCAGAACAGAACCATAAACGGTCGCGTGGAGGTCGCAGGTCGCCATCGCAACGCGAGGCTTTCGGGCGACGAAGCGACCGCGACCGCGACCGCGCGGTTCCGAGCGACGGTTTACACTTTTAGAGTGACGCGTCGAGATGAAGATAAACGTATCAAACCCGTCACAGACGTAGCTATAATATATATTAATATGAATCATAGTAAGACATATTACAACATATTTTCAATATAAATTTTCGAGTGACCGCACGCGTAGCTATAATATATATTTCTATGATTTCATCAAAATATGTCGATAGATATATTTTGGCATATTAGTGTATATTTTGCCATCTAATATATAAAACTCTCGTGTCGCGGTGTTTGTGGTTAAACTCCTCCGAAACGGCTTTCCCGATTCTCATGAAATTTTGTCTACATATTGGGTAGGTCTGAGAATCGGACAACATCTATTTTTCATCCCCCTAAATGTTAAGGGTAATCTATTCCAATTTTTTTTTTTTTTCAATTTTAGATATTTTTTTTTAATTTTTTTTATGATACATAAAAAAATACATACATCCCTAAATTTTCAACTTTCTACCACCGACCCCTATTTTTTTATGGCGGTACGAAGTTCGTTGGGTCAGCTAGTATTAACATATATTCTGATATATTTTTATGATACCGGGGATATTCCATTTTTCACCGAACGCCTGCCAAAATATATATAGTACAGCTCCCGTCTGCGGTAGTTTGTTTAATATAATTTACGTTCGACAAATTATAGACAGAATTCCTACTTTAATAGAGTAAAACAAAATTTCAATAATAATTATTCAAGTGATGTGGACGTATTCCTGGCGAAACAAAATTATTTCAAAAAGATTGTAAATAGTATTTTTTTTAATAATAATAATAAAACTTAATTTATATTTCTATCACCATTTTCTTTATGGCTTTATGCTTAATTTTTTACTTCTGTGTTTTTATTTTTATATAGTTTTAAATTAATCTACGGCCTCGATCGGATTAAGTATATTTTATTTGAGTCGTATTTTTGAAAACTGCATAAGGCATATCAACGCTACATCATCTCGTTTTATCCTTAGTTTTAACATGCTGTTTGTTTTCCATGAATAAATAAATAAATAATATCTCGAAATATTAATATGTATTATAGCTACGTCTGTGACGGGTTTTATGAATGTGCGCGCAGGTGGAAAACTTGAACATGACGCTATGCTCGGACGGGCGCAGTGTACTGGAGGCGCTGGCGCAGGAATGTGAGGACGCTCGTGGCGGCGCGGGCTCGCGGCCCACCAGGAGCACCGGCGCGCTGGCGGCTCTGCTGGTGGCCGCGGCCGCCGCCGCCGCTGTGGCCTTGACGGTCATACTCTCGCGGCCGGAACTCAGGATGCAAATCAAGGTATGCGACCACCCAAATCTTCTTCTTCTTCTTTTATTATGGCTTACGGCTATTGTTGCCGATTGCCATATGCAAGTTTCGTTTGATGTAATCGGGTAGCGAATCGATTGAACTCGATCGATTAAAGGAGCGGAATATGAATAGTTGGTACTCGGATATGTGGTAGTTGCAGGTGGGAAAAAATAAGGAAACGATATGAACGAGAAAATAAAGAGAGATTTGCGATAAACGAGAACGAGGAGCGACAGTGGAGTAGGTAGGAAAATATAGGTAAATAATGGGAACTATAGAAAAAATATAAATATATAAATGAACTAAATTTTGATATATTTTTTTCTGATAAACTTGGATAAACGTATGTATATATCAGGATTAATATTATATAGAAGGGAAGGAATGGACGTAGGAAAAGGAATATTTGCTGTCTTCGATGAATCTAAAAAGGTGGTTCTGTCATATCTGGGGCAAGAAAAGAAAATATGGTTAACGTCAGCATCGAAGTCGCCACATCCACATGTGGACATATCTATTATACCATATTTTGCCAAACGATCAGGAGTACAAACATGTCTAAAGCGCATTCGAATTAAAATTTTGGTAACTGATTTATTAATTTCGAAAAACACAAATCATATTCAAGTGAAACTTCTTTACGCACGCTTCGCTCGGGGAGTAAGCTGGCGAACGCGTTACCAAAAGTGTGATCGGGCAAGACGAACGGGAGTCGAGTGGGGGATGTAAGCAAAAGCAAGCAGTGCGCGCGCACATTTTCCTTCTCTCTTTCTCTTATAACTAGTAAATGAAATATGTAAATTAGACTTGCAACGAATAGTATATTCGGCAGTATACCGAATATTCGGCGAGGCACCTAACCGAATAGCCGAATATTAGGCAAAAGTATTCGGCAGGATTTTAGCGCCAAAACTTGTACAGACGTGATTGTTTGACGCTCCTGTTTTGTTCTAATCTAAAATGCCACTAAATGACAAAACCAACTTTTGAGATATGGCCAAAAATGGCGCGTAAACTTTAAATTATTGCTATTATGTAACTATTCATCACATGACTGAATTAATTAAAAACTGTTTACTTGTTTAATACAGTAAATGATTAAATTATGTACCTGTTTTATGTACCAGTGACTACTTAATAAATGATTATAAAAGAAACGAGAACCTTACCCTTCTAAATTTTGATTACCACAATAATTCAAATACATAGAATCCTCCATTTTTCCAATTCAGAAGATGATTATGTATGAAATATTGCAAAATACTTTTTTATTACTATTACTTGGTGTAATTTTAATTGTTTCTATTAGTGAAGATAAAGTAGTGCATGCAACAGCATATAATGTAGGTATTATAATACTCGAGACAACCTATTATCGCATAAACGCACATTCGTGTTTTTATAGCTCTCATTATACAACATTCGCATAAATAAGTATACTATTATTATTATTATAATTATAATAAACTGCCGCGCGCGTTGAATGTGTGATGGCTAGCGAGCTAAATGCTTTTTTCCATTAAAATCATTCTCCTGAAAACTCGAAGTTGTAATTACACTCGCACAGCACATTAATGTGGTTTTCTTATGTCGGACACTTTCATACCAATAATGTTACACTAAATTTATACTAGGCGCAGAAAAACGTACAAATATAAGTATATAAATATACATGATTATGCGCAAAATCACAGAAACTTTTGCAAAGTATCTGAAGTTTTCAGCATATTTATCCAATAAATTGATGTTTAAAAAATCACATACAAACTAAATAAAAACCCTATTTCATAAACTAAGTTTATGTTGAGGAATATAGAAAATAAGCGTCAATAGTTAAAGTGGTCCTTCGAGTCGTATTTTTTTGTAAAATATAAAATTGTTTGACCGCCTTAGGCTTGGTTGCACGCGCGCGGTTGTCGCGGGTGTTGGATATCGCGGAAGCGCGAGGCCGGAGACGACGGCCGGATATTCGACGTGTTCGTGTCGTACGCGCCGCACGACGAGCGGTTCGTGGCCGAGAGCATCGTGCCCTTCCTGGAGGTAAGCGCGAGGCCGGAGACGACGGCCGGATATTCGACGTGACGACGTGTAAGACGTAACTAAGAAACTCGAGTCTCTACAATTACGCCGTGATGTGCCATCATTAAGCGCATTCTACCGACTATACCACGGCGAGTATTCCGAGGAGTTATTCTCGCTTATCCTTCCATCACCTTTTCTTCAGAGGACCACGTGCGCTGGTCTATGTTGCCACCGACTTACTGTGGCCTACACGAACAAAGAAATTTGGCGACTCATTTCTGTGTCGCACTATTCGTAAGTGGAATTCTTTACTCGCGCACGTGTTCCCTCCCGCGCAGAGAAGCGCGAAGAAGCATTTTTGCGGGCCGGTAAGGTGAGGATGGTTGGTGTAGCAGTTTATAACTGTTGTATCTGCTATCTTCGCGTTTGGACTTTATCGCCACTTAACATCAGTCATTTGCCTACCAAGTTATATATATATATATATATATATAATATATATAAAATTCTCGTGTCGCGGTGTTTGTGGTTAAACTTCTCCGAAACGGCTTTTCCGATTCTCATGAAATTTTGTGTGCATATTGGGTAGGTCTGAGAATCGGACAACATCTATTTTTCATTCCCCTAAATATTAAGGGTAATCCACCGCAATTTTTTTTTTTTATTAAATTTTAGATTTTTTTTTATTTTTTTTTTATGATACATTGTACAAAAATACATACATCCCTAAATTTTCAACTTTCTACCACCAACCTCTATTTTTTTATGGCGTTACGAAGTTCGCCGGGTCAGATAGTATATATATATATATATATATATATAACGTCCCTGATTTGCAGAAGCACGGGTACGCGGTGTGCGTGAAGTACCGCGAGTGGCCGCCGGGCGCGTGGATCCCCACCCAGATAGAGCTGTCCGTGCACGCGTCGCGCCGCACGCTCTCCGTGTACAGCGCCGCGTGGGGAGCTGACGGCGACGCGTGGGCCGCCGCCGAGCTGCGGGCCGCGCACGCCGCCGCGCTGCGGGAGCGGCGCCCGCGGCTGGTGCTGCTGCTGCTGGCGCCGCTGCCGGAAGACCTGGCCAGCCTGGCGCGCGCGCACACCGTGCTGCACTGGTACCGCCGCGCTGCCACCCCCGCCCCCCCCGCCGCGTGCTGGGACCGCCTGCTCTACGCGCTCCCCCCGCCCGCCGACCGCGCCGACCCCGCCCCCGTCAAGTATTGACGACGCGATTGGATCCCGCCCGACCGCCACTTTGTAAGGTGATATATAGCATAAAAATCTGAGTCCACTATGTTTTTATATCCGCCATATTGGATTTAAAGTACCGTTCCTTTATTTTTCGAGTTATTCTCGGCAGGCCTCGAACTCGAACTCTTTATTTGCAAACTGAGTGTTACATGCGGTTCTTAAACATAATACATGACGTCTTATGACTCGGTCGCCTTGTACAGGTATAACAAATGATAGATAATTAAACGTTTATATTATTATTATGATATTATAAAATTGTAACATGATTAATTTGGTTTGGGAGATACCATCGTTATAACATAATTTAACAAAACAATAACAAATGAAAAAGTACAAATTCATTAAATTTATTAAAATATTCTTCAATAGAATAGAAGCATTCATCGGTTAAATATTTTTTTAATTTTTTGTGAAATATTGGGAGTTCCCGTTCCTTAAGTTCGCTCCCTCGACTATCCTCTTTGAAAAATATTAAGTGACCGTTGATGTGATGCGATGTGTGTGTTGAATAATAATCTCTCTCCCGTATGTCAAGAGGGATATCGGGTGGAAAATACTTTAGATATTTACTCCATCCGGTATCCCAGTTTTCTTTAGCCTTGTTTTTCAACCTTCTTGGTGTAGGCCTCCCTTAACGGACCAAAGATCTGATACCATTTATAAAGTTGCGATAAAAATCACAATACTCACAAGATATCATAGCCATTTTTATATATTTAGATATTTTTATTATTCACTCAGATACAGTATGTAAATCACCTGTGTACGAGATAAATTACGCAATTTTGTAATAAATTAAGGTTTAAAGCAATTCACGTTAAAAACTGTATCATTTTCGACACACACTGCTCTACACTCAGTTTCTAAACGAAATTATTTTTGAAACTTAGTTGTATTTATTAAGCAAAAAACTTATCATTTAGATGTAATGTTAAAAAACCTTACAAAAAGCTTATGTTTATAATCGAATTTATTGTATAATTTCGATTGCTGACTGCTCTTGTGATAAGTTGTTATAATTTAATCCTGAATCTTGTGTGTGCGTGTCGAAACTGTTATTACATTTATGGAGCATACGAGCATATCTGATTAATAAACTTATTCGATTAAATAAAATCGATGAAAACGATGTCAAAATTAATTGTAAAAATAAAGTTAGATTTCATTTTCTTGGATCATTTTATAATTGCAAAGCACGCCAGTCATCATTATATTTTAAGTACTACTTTAAGTACAAATTAATTTAATAAGTACAATGGTGTTTATTGTGGCATGATTCTCTAAACTTAAAACTAAATTTGACATCAGCCTCTCCTTGTCATTCTGTATAGAAAATGACAAGGACACACTGTTATCAAATTTAATTTTTGGTGTCAGAATCGACACCAATGATTCACTCACTATGCATTTATAAAAGACGCATGTACCTATTGCAATTTCAATTATGTTATTTTCCCCATTTTTGTGTCATTTTATTTTAACTTTACGATTATCATATTTTTAGAAGTAGGTTGGGATCAAACATTTTCAGTCATAGGTAGTTATTATCTAGATAATTGTTACAATTAAATATATAAGATTTTAGCTTAAGATGTTACTTATATAATAAGTTTACTAAACACCTCGAGCCATACAATCACTCTGTGCCGTGGCCTCATTAAGCCTTAGATTAAAACAAAAAGGGAAGATACGGCACTCGCAGCTCAAAAGTGATCCGCTTAAATTGTGGTGCAGGACCACAATTCGCTTTAGTTACAACATTTGAACACGCTGCATGTGCACTTAATATAACAATATTGCGTATATTCTGTGTTATGAAGATAAAACAATGCCTTCGATGCTTTTATAAAGTTCAAAATCAAATAACATATGCCTCGGCAACAAAAGGAATACGCTGCGTTGAAGCGTATAGTTCTGTCTCGCTCGCTCGATTGATGTTTATATACAGACGTGTACGTGGCGAGAGTTGCTCATGTAGTTGAGTCGGATCACATTTTATTTGATGCTAGTATGAGCGTACCGTATCTACCCTTATTAGGGTTCCGTCCCTCAAAGGGAAAAAAACGGAACCCTTATAGGATCACATTGTTTTCCGTCCGTCCGTTTGTCAAGACCGTTTTTCTCAGGAACGCATGGAGGTATCAAACTGAAATTCATATATAATACTCAGACGTACTTTCCCTTGGACCTGTGAATAAATTCAAACTTCTAAGCCAAAGCAATCAAAAGATAAGGACAGCCGTTTATGCCGCAAATTTCCGTAAATTTTCTAAACTCGCACGGGAATGAAAACCTACACGGTAAACTTAGAATCTTGAAATTTGGTACGAAGTAACATCTTATAGTACAGATAAAGGGAAAATTGCGACAACCGTAAATTTTTAGTTACATCATATAATAAAAAATATTTTTGAAAATTTTAAAGTTACTACCTCTTTTCTCATGAGCGCATAGAGGTTTAAAATTGAGTTTATACGGAACCCTCGGTGCGCAAGTCCGACTCGCACTTGGCCGGTTTTTGTTTTAATCTAAGCATTAAGCGCGTTCTATTGTCTGTATCTGTACCACGGCAAGTGATCTCAAGAGTTATTCTCTCTTATCCCACCATCCCCTTTCCTTCAGAGGACCACGCGCGCCGGCCTACGCTATCATCATCTAACTGTGGCCAAAATTCCAACGCGTATAAAGAAATTTGGTGACCCGCCTCTTTGTCACACTATCGGTCTATGGAATGCTCTGCCCGCTCACGTGTTCCCTCCCTCTTACAACCTGGGATCCTTTAAAAGAGGCGTGAAGAAGCAACATGCAGGCCGGCAGGGTGAGGATGGCTGGTGTGGCAGGTAGAATTGCTGCACCAGCTATCTTCACGTCTGGACTTCACCGTCACTTAACATCAGGAAGGGAGGAGTCATTTGTCGCACCTATCTATAAAAAAAATGTATTCGGCTCTGTCTTAGATAAAAAGGCTTAGCCAATTAAAATATTGTGCCATTTAATTGCAAGAAATTGTCTTCCATTCCAAGAATGATATTAATATAAGTGCCTTATGCCTTCATAGTTTGAAGAATCTCCTTATTGGTATATATTTATATGTAGATCTTTAATCTTTGTTTGAGAATAAAGATTCTTATAGGGCGACCAAATATCGTTTTATTGTAATTAAGTTATGTTTGAAGATCTGTTATTTCGAAAAAGACATTTCAGCTATCCCTATTCTGTTTAGGAAACATTCCAAAAAAAATATAGTTTACTCGAATATTTTTACTTATATTTTTTATTACAAAAGTTTAATTAATGCATTGTTAAAGATTGCAAGAAATCTATGTTACTATCCCACAATATTGCGTGTGCACGTCAATAAAGACTTTTGTTATGTATTGGTATCTATGTATGCCACCTACGGGCAAAAAATAAATTGTTTGCTCTCTTTGAAATAAACTTATTTTTTATATTTTTAAAATGCAGTTTTATTTGCAAGTAATCAAGATGCTATTCCGTTCTCGGCAGCAGGCTGCAGATGCAGGCAGCACGTGTAGCCTGCCCGGCTGCAGGAATGTATTTCATACAAATCTTTATTTATTTATTTAAGGACAGCTAACAAGAATATCCACACATAGTAAAGTATAACAATAGCGTATAAGTGATAATTTAAGTGGTATCTCTGCCACGACATGCATTTGTGACAATAAAAACAGTGTGCATTCTTAACAAAATTATAAAAGTAAAAAAAGAAATAAGTATGCAGAATATTCACAACATGTTATTGTTTCACTCACACTGAACGTATCCAATACGACAGAACAATTCTGCAGTAAGAAAACAGGAGATATTACAAACTTAATAATACAATGCGTGTCATGGTAAGCTGGAGCAAAATTTATATGTTCGATTAATGACAGATGGAGCAACATTTTTCAGAAATTTACCATAGTCGCTAAATAGGCCAAGATTAGAGGCCTTAGACATTTCATTGTAATATGATTGCTTACGACCAGTGGCGGCGCTAGGCGTCGGCGACGTCGGCCACCGCCTTAGAGCATTTATGCCACCGCCGACGGCTTCGCGCCTGAGGGAGCCTCGCAAAAATTTTTAGAAGTTACCTATTTATTTTCGTTTCTCCTGGTCTGGCTTAGGTAGCTGACCCCGAACAATTCGGGAAAAAGCTAAGCAGATGATAATGACTTTTATTATTTTCGAACACGTGCGTGATGGAAGCGAGTAGTACTTTACGGGTATTCAGAATCGTCTGTCTGGCAACACTATGTTTGTAATTATTTTTTGTCATCATTTGATTATCAACAATAAAACTCGTTTACTCATACGTTATTTTATTATTTGGCTCACTTAATTTAACGGTTTTTACTGCGAAGTAAAATAGGCCTCGCGAACTTGATGTCGCCGACGTCCACATGTGGTCTAGCGCCGCCACTGCTTACGACACAGTGATGAAAAGTGACCTGTATTAGATATTAATGGCTTGGGCATAATAATTTGTAATTAGATGAAGGTGGTAGTATTTTATATTAGCTAACAGAAAAGGACAGTCTAAATGACCGTTCACTGATTATAAAGAAATTTTAAATCTGCATCTTTTCTACGGATGTAAACAAATTAAAAAATAATGGACCAAAATTTGAGCCTTGCGGGAGCCCTGATGACGTTATATACACTGTAGACTCATATCCTTTTATAACTACTTTAGAACTTCGATTAGAAAGTTATGGATCACACGTCTGCAACAAAGGGTCAGTTATACCGAACTATGTTTTTTAATGAGGATTTTAAATTAACAAGGTCAAAGGCCTTGCTAAAATCAGTGTATATGACGTCAGCAAAAGCCCTAGAGTCCACTTCGTCAACCATATTCGTTATAAAGCTGACTAAATTCGTTGTTGTAGAACGAGCCTTAACAAACCCGTGCTGCTGTGGTACAATCAACTATTTCACATGCCAGTATATTACATGATGCGCCAGAGACTCCAATATCTTGCCAAATATTGGTAGAATTGATATTAGACGAAAGTTTTCGATATTTGCATGGTCACCCGCTAGGACCAATGTGGTATTCTGATCTCAGCTGCAGCCAGCACTTGCAGCGGCTGTAAGTAGCCCTTGTAGCGACTTTTTAAGTATTTAACTGCTAGATGTTTAAATCTAAAGAAAAGTTTTTAATAAAAAAAAATCCACGCGCTCTAGGCAGCAGACGAGACTCGAACCCGCACCCTTCGCAATCCGGGCGAATGCACTGACCAATTATGCCACCGCGGCCCTGATGGCCGCGTCGAAATTTTCCTATCCTGCATTGTAGGTAACATACAATGTCAAATGAATACTTTTTTAAGTATTAAATATTTGAAAGAAGAAATAGCATTTATAGTTGTATTTTTTAAGCTAGATGTTTAAATCTAAAGAAAAGTTTTTAATAGAAAAAAATCCAGTGCATTCGCCCGAATTGCGAAGGGTGCGATTTCGAGTCCCGTCTGCTGCCTGGTCCGCGTGGAAACTTCTTTAGATTTTAAGATCTGTTGTTTAGAAAAAGCAAAGAGAAAGTTTCTAAAACAACGATAGTTTACTCGTTTTTTGGGTCATTCTTATCTTGCGGTCTTATCTTTTCTTATCACGAAATTTAGGGCCGAATTAATTTTTTTATAAATGAAGTTTAGTCAATGCATTGTCAAAGTGTCGTATGTTGTCGTCGTCGTGTATATACAAAAAAATGGGTGCGTGTACTTATGTAGGCGCGTGAGAAGTTATCCTTCTTTGGCATCGTTTAAAATTAGTTTTTAATTGCATGCAAATAATTAATTACAATAAATTAATAAAAAGTCTGGAAAAGGACACAGTCAATAAAGTTCAGTTTTAACTTGAAAAAATAAATAAATAATCAAAATATTCAATTAAAATCGCTACTGAATATAATTTTCTAATAGAACATATGTGATTTGCACTTGTATGAAACTCAAACACGTATTCCGAATATACAAACTAGAAACATGTGGATAAATATTATAAATATGAATACCTATAACTGTTACTTTATTACAAAAAATAAAGATGTGGTTTTTGGTTCTACTAGACCAATGGTCAAGAGATGGCGCTGTAGTCTCCTGAATCGCGCTTTGGTTCCGTTGTTCGAGATTAATAAATACTTTTGATAGGCCTTCACAATGCAGTCGTTAGCACCCACTAAATAGAGATTCTATTTCTACTTTGTTGGTAGATTTTCTTAATGTGCGGTAAACACAAAAGTAACGCATGAAGTTGGTCACTAAAGCGACCAACTTCATGCTGTTAAAATTTTGTGTTACAGTGATGCGCGCGCATCTTAAAATTTCACTCTCATCATTTTTTCATAACGCGCCTAAAGAAGTATAACTTCAAAAACAAAAAAAGATTGATTTCGTTGGATGAGATAGAGACGGGCTCTTAGAGCATATGTCAATTCAATAAACAATTATACATTCAATTAAAAAATATATATGGGTACATTATAAGTATATATAGGGATGATATTATATTAACATACGTTATATACATTGCTAACGCGCTATTAAGTCTCGATGACACGGGGCGAGTTACAAGCTACAAGCCAGCGAGTTCGCTAGTACCTTGTAAACTCGCCCCGTATCATCGAGTAGCAGATGGTAAAAAAGCCAAACAAAAGAATTATTGTTGTTTGTTTTATTTTACGTTGTGCTTCTACAAGTGAGCTAAATATTGGATAGTGATATTCTACAGCTAATACCCAGGTGGTAAGGTACCGAAACCTGCTCTCGATTACATCATCGAAACATTTGAAGTACAAAGTCCTCTTGTATGGGATAATAAATTGAAGATGGTGATTTTGTGATACATGCAATTTATATTTATGGCAATGATATTACATAAAAGCAGATACGTTTTAAGCACGCACGCTGTGATGACTCAAGTACAGTCAGTTCCATTGGGCCGTCTTGTATTGTAATTAGTCTGCAGTGTTGCCAGGTCTCCAGATTTTACAGGAGATCTCCTGTTTTTCTGAAATTTCTATTGTTCTACTGTTTTTCTACATGAATCTCCTATTTTTCTTCAATCGATTTGCACATATAAGGGGCCCGGTATGAGAAAAATGTGAGGGGTATATCGATAAATGACATTAATGACCTCGTTACGTTTTTGTGCGCAACCTCATCTGCGCACCTTTAACTTTTAGCCATGGCAACGGATAAAAAACATTAAGTTGTCACAAATTTCAATAAAATAAATAAACTAAAAATAGATAAAATCGGAGCAAAATTAATAAAAACAAATAAATAACAGAATATAGGGAAATGCCGGTAAGTGTCCAGCACTCTGGAATAGTGATTTTTCAGTACAGATGGAATTAATTAATGAAATACATATTTACAAAATGATGACTAGTGTGTGATATTTTTGAAATTGTGTGTTTCCAGAAATACATAATAAAATATATGATGAATATCGCTGATGTTAGATGATAAAATGTGTGACATGGAACCTATGATAGTCGAAACCATGGGACGATTCCTGAGGTATCTTTACTTGTAACCGACTTCTTCGGACTTGATTTTGTTTTGTGTCTGTTCAAAGACAATCGTTTTTAGAGTGTAAACTCCGGTCGTGCGTCGGAGCTGACACACACATTTTTCTTTTTTATCATTAATTTCTATGGATATTTTAATATTTTGACGCAAACGTAGCATTGTCTATGATAAATTTTAATCTGCAAACTCATTGTATCAATTTAATGCATGACATACAAACTTAAACCACGATTTTTGGTACCGGAAAACTCTTACCCCCTTATTAATAAACGAGGAAATAAGCTTAGACTAGTGTAGAGTTTTGTTATGGCCACATTACTATGATGGCAACCCTGTAAAAGACAGTTATTTTGTTTAGAAAGTATACATATTGTGATTGGAGAATAAATGAGTACAATTATACTTTTCTTTATTATTGGAATAATCTACAACTAGTTACGCCGTCTTGTCCATGTGACTCAAATGCAACTTGTCATTCAATAGACAGAAACAAAACATGGAGTAACTAATCCATGCGTAGTCTTCGTTTATTAATAATGGGGATGGGGTATTTTTTTAATTTTATTGAAATCTAGGGTAAACTGAGGCCTGGTAAAGGGTAAAATGAAATTGAAACCAGGCAACACTGACAGTGGTGCACAGATTACAGAGATTAGTGGCGAAAAAAGGATAAACAAATCAATTTTGTTTGTTGCGCAATACAATACAATACCATCGCAATATCAAGATAAGTCCATTTGTCCAACACAGTACACACTTCATTAATAATAACATAAAAATCTGCAAGTTATCATTAATCAGAATGTCCACTACGACATTTATGGATAAACTGAAAGTATTTTTTGGAATCCGCCAGGAACCGCCTAGAAACGATTTCCGAAATCCTATTTGGGGCTCCGACGACGACGACGATGGCGATGAACTGTATACACGACATCAAATTGAACCGTACGTAGACCCGACCGAGCTACATCGACATATTACTTCACAAATGCAAGATATGTTCAAGTCCTTTGGATCAATTTTCGGCGACGTAAAATTATTTTTTCAGGATGACCAATTTGATTCGTTAGCTGGTTTCGGAGACGTCCCAGAACCTGAAGGCTACAGTGGGAGTAACAATTTAAGAGAATATTATCTGAAACCTGGATACCAAAATCAAAAATTCGACCACTCTAAACAGGACATTGATTTGGATGGAAAAATCTCGTCACATGAGATTTCCGGCTTATTGAAACAAAAAGAAGATGGCCAAAAGGAGATTACGCCATTTGACGGTAATTTGGTGCCAGGGAGGTCATTTTGCAGAACTATTATCACAACAAGTGTGACCAAACCTGATGGAACCATAGAAACAAAGCGAATTATAAAGAATGGCAATGAAATCATAGAAGAGACTACAACTTCTACAGGAATAGACAATAAAGGCCCATTCAATTCCAGTTTAGACCCTATCTCTTCCACAAGTTACATTTATAATAGTATAATGTCAGAGTTATCCTCTCACTTCAGGAACTTTAGTTTTTGAATGTGGATTAAGTCTTAAATGAAATAAATGTTAAAACAAGATAAATTTAGTAGGTTTCCCCTGTACATTATTATATTATTAACTCATTATGTTGGTATTTATTACCTGTTATAATTACTACTTTCTATAGTTGATCATACTAATAATTTAAAGTCATTTATTTCCTCTTACAAAAGAAATTTGAAATAGTAGCAATAATTGTAATGAAAACTTAAAATTTGCATGGAAATAAAGATTAATAACATACTTTACATATTTCTTTTTTGAAAGTATGACCTCCAGTAGTACTAAAGAAATACACAATATAGTTATTGAATAATAATATAATATGGATAAAAAGTTGTTGGTATTTTGTGTACAGAATATTGTGCAAATCACTTTTATCTTCTAAATCAGCAGTACTCAAACTGTAGTCCATTACAGAGCCACAACCATTGCTGGGATAGGAGAATATACCACAGGGTCTTCTTAAATTATAAATCAAATTAAATAAACTAAAACCAGTTTTATCACTTTTAGAAGTACATACACAAAATTTTAAAAAGTAATAGTAATGAGGTACGTAGCATAGAGCAATATTCTTGGTTTGCTTAAATCAAGCTCTACCACATGCTATTTTGATGATATGATATTATCAAGGTATTTATCTCTCAACCAATTTCTGTATTTTTTTTTATATATTTCATTTTCATCTACAATGGTACTCAAACTTTTTTTACTCGGATTATAAATCCGAATACTAATCTGTGACTGGGTCACTGACACCTTACTCTGTATTATTTTTCTGTAGGATCTTTTGCTCACACAATATAAATATTTATACTGCTTATAAGCAGCACTATAATTCCATACAAAATAACTTACTGGTGGGTAAGGTTGCATATATCTTGATAGATCAAGTCTAGCTTGCAAATTTTTAGAAATGTGGAAAACTTATGGCATTTAAAATCTACTCATATTCACAGCTTGATTTAATAAGGATTACATTATTCTTGTTTGATTTAAACTATGTTTCTGCTACACCGCCATCGCCAGGTTGGAAATAAAATCTACAGGATCTTCTTATAAATGAAATTAAATATGTGTTCCAGCTCTCGCCGGTTTCGGAGATTTTCAAAACAAACTTGCAGATTTTAAAACTTATATTTTTCAAAACAATCAAATAAAACATTTATAAAATGTTAGGTAACGTTCGTCGTGTACCGCAGTCGAATAAGAATGAATTTTGATCCTGGCTGTTTGGTAAACTTGTCATGTTGGCGCGTGTTTGCTGCAGCGATTTAGTAGGCGCTTGAACATCCTCCACCGCGTTGAAAGCTCCGCTTTCAATAACAAATAGTTTGCAGCTGTTATTTATCGTCCTCAACAGCTGGTTTGGTTGACCAGCTCTCTTCGCTTGGGCTGTTTACGAATGGTAATGCACACATCTTGTTGATAGCTCTCCTCAGTGTCCCATTTCGAGTGAGAACGTCAGCGACTCTGCTTACTCCATCCTTTCCTGGGTACAGACGACTAATTCGAGCCATTCTCCAAAATAAGGGGGGTAAGTTTTCCTCTTTTAGGATGACAAGATCTCCAACTTTAACCTCGTGCTGCTTCGTCCTCCATTTTGTCCTCTGCTGTAGCTCCGTCACGTACTCCCGACTCCAACGATCCCAGAAGTGTTGGCGAAGTTGCTCGATAAGCTGGTACCTGCTGAGACGCTTACAGTTGATTGGTGGAGAGGGCACTGACGTCAGTGGCCGTCCCACGAGAAAATGCCCTGGAGTGAGAGGAGAAGGATCAGTTGGGTCTGACGAGAGAGGAGATAACGGACGTGAATTTAGGATTGCCTCTATCTGTGTAAATAGTGTAGATAGCTATGCGTTTCAAATGAAATTTAGCGGAGCGCACGCCGGCCTCCCAAACGCCTCCAAAATGAGGAGAATAGGCAGGGCTGAACACAAATTTGATTTCTTCGGCCTGACTAAAATCGACTAATGACTGCCGACTGGATCTATACAATCTACCAAATTCATTGCTAGCCCCTTTGAAATTTGTTCCATTGTCACAAAAAATAGTTGACGGTTTACCTCTCCTGGAAATAAATCGACGAAATGCCAAAATGAATGCCTCTGTACTGAGATCACTTACAACTTCTAAGTGAATGGCCTTTGTAGCCATGCATACAAATAAACATAAATAACATTTGGAAATGCGATTGCCTTTGCCTTTGCGACTAGCGATCATAAAAGGACCGGCCATATCCACGCCACACGAGTAAAAAGCGAATGTAGGAGTGGTTCTTTCGACTGGTAAATTTCCCATTATAGGCTGTATCGTTTTTCCACGAAAACGAATACAAATAATACACTGCTTAGCCGTGCTACGTGCAAGGTTTCTACCACCTACTGGCCAGAATCTTTCTCTAACTGAAGCAAGTAGTAATTGGGGGCCCGCATGAAATAAACGTTCGTGTTCATGTCGCATGATTAATTTACTGAGGTGGTGTTTCGCATCAAGAAGCATGGGATGCCTTTTATTACAATCGAATGACGAGTTTTCAAGACGACCACCTACTCGTAAAACGCCTTTTTCATCTAAGAAAGGTGTCAATGATAATAATTTACTGGTACGGACAAGAGGCTGTTTATTAGAAATTAATTTGATCTCATCTGCGAACGAATGACGCTGACTAAATTTAACCAATAATAACAATGAATCGTTAATTTCAGCGACATCTAAAGGACCTATTTTACGATTACTCGATTTACAATTATTGATAAACCTTAAAACATAAGCGTACACCTTCTTAAGACGTGTTAGGTTGGAAAAACAATTAAATGGTATAAATGTATCATCAATATCTGAATATAATTTTATATTTACATTGCAACATTTTATAGACTTCTTGAGTTCGGGTAAATCGGTTATATGTTTGCCATGAGATTGGTTAGGCCACTCAGCAGGTGTTAACTTAAGAAACGCAGGCCCCTCCCACCACAAAAGAGCAGACTGCAAAAATTTAGGGTCAACTCCTCGTGACGCTAAGTCAGCGGGGTTTTGATCAGTAGGTGTGTGCAAAAATGTGAAATCAGGAGTTAATTCGTTAATTTCATTAACCCGATTACACACAAAAGTCTGTAAATCTTTTGTTGGTGTTTTCAACCACCCTAGAATTACGGTCGAATCAGTCCATAATACTTTACGCGTGAACTTACATCGCAAAGCCGATAAAACTTTATTAGACAATCGTGCACCTAACAATGCACCACATAATTCTAAACGCGGGATGGTGGTTGGTTTAATAGGCGCAACCCTAGCTTTAGCGCATAATAACTTCACAACAACGTGACCTTCACTATCTTGTGATCGTATGTAAACGCAAGCCGCATAGGCTCGTTGCGATGCGTCAGCAAAACAATGTAATTGCAACTCGATTGGGTTGTCACTGAATACACGTCGAGAAATTTTAATTTGAAATAAAACGGAAAAATCTTTTAATAGTTTGACCCAATCTTTAATAAAGCTTTCAGGTACAGGTTGGTCCCAATCTAATTTAACGCTCCACAATTTCTGAAGAAGAATTTTTGCCACTATTATGCAAGCGCTTAGAAGGCCAAGGGGATCGAACACTTTGCACGTAGCAGACAGTACCGAGCGTTTTGTTATTGCTGAGTCTAATAATAAATCTGCACTGAACTGCAAAGTATCTGTTTGCGGAGCGTAATTAAGACCTAAGACGCTTGAGTCTTTAAATAAGTCGAGACTATCCATGGTGTCCACACTGTCAAATAAACCTGGGTAGTTAGAACGAAACTTGCGCAACGGCATACATGCAGAATCTAAAACCTTAACCACGCCCGTTGCGATGTGCTTTAATTCTGCTACTGCGTCGCACCCTGTATTAAGGTCATCGACATAAAAATCATTTTCGATGACATTAGCTATTATGCTATCCTTGCACTCGTGCGCTAATTGTTGTAAACAACGCGTACTTATGAATGGAGCGGACGCCGTGCCGTAAGTAACTGTATTGAGACGCATGACTTGAACCGGTTTGTTATCATCGCTACGCCATAATATTAATTGCAAATGCCGCTGTTTCGTATCAATTTCAATCTGTCGGTACATTTTCTCTATATCGCCGAGAAGAATAAACTTGTGTTGCCGAAAACGAAGTAAAATTGAAATTAAATCACACTGCACTACAGGGCCAACCATTTGTATGTCATTCAGAGACTTACCGGAACTAGTTTTTGAAGAAGCGTTAAATACAACCCTCAATTTGGTAGTTTCACTTTTTTCGCGAAATACGGCGTGATGTGGTAAGTAATACCCGAATTTAGGTTTTTGGATTGGAGTTAGATGCCCTAAATCAGTGTACTCTTGTATAAACTTACGATAATTTTCCTTTAAATCTGGATACTTAGCAAATCTCTTTTCTAAACTTTGTAAACAAGATTTTGCAGTAAAGTAATTGTCCCGAAGCGCATCTTCAGGAACTTCTTTCAAAGGCATTTGTACGGAAAATCGGCCGTTAGGCAAACGCGAATAAGTTTCTAAGAAATTCGATTCACATAAACGTTCCTCTACAGAATACGTTTTTGTGTCCGTGGGTAAATCATCGATTAGCCAAAATTTTTCTAAATCGTCGCGTATGATCTGAGAAAAATTACAATGCAATTGCTTTGAATAAGGTATAGACTGATTTGTTATTGGGCCGGCCACTAACCATCCTAATTTAGAGTTCTGAAGAACAGGGAGGTGTTTACCTAACTTTATGGTATTTGGCTCGATAAGGTCCCAATATACGTCAGCACCTAATAACGCATCAATTTCAGATGGACGGAAAAAATTAGGATCTGCGAGTTTAATATTCGGAGGTAACCTTAAATTTGAGATATCTATTTGGTAATTTGGCAACATGCCAGTAATTTGTGGTATCAACAAACAATTAACACTAAAACTAAAACTGTTAACTTTCGACTTTAATTCAACAATACAACGCTCAGTCACACCGCAGCTACGAGCATTAATACCAGTAATATTTAATGAATTAACTGTTTCACCACTCAACCCTAACCTTTGTTTACACTTGTATGTCATAAACGATGACTGACTACCGGTGTCTAAAATAGCTCTCAGCGTGTGGATCTTATTATCTACGATAACGTTAATAACCGCGGTACATAATAAAACCTGATCCGTAGTCACAGCTGTGAGAGAAATAGGCAAGGACGTAGAAGGCTGAGTGTTTTCTAACAAACCGGTTCCGTCAGAATCTACATGCAGCAACGTATTGTGTTTCTCTTTGCAAAAACGACAACAACCTTTTAATTGACATTTAGACTTGCTATGCCCAGTCCTTAGACAATTATTACACAATTTAAAATCACGAACATGCTTTAATTTATCATTATGACTTAACTTTTTAAACTCTAAGCAAGCATGCAAGTAATGTGTTTGATTACATAATTTACACAACTTAGAATCACTATCTGAAGATACGACTAAACTGTTAGATCGAAAATTTGAAACAAATTTAGGTTTAATTTGTTTTGAATTAATTTTTTGTTCGTTATCGGATCGACTACTAAATGTAGTTTCAAGCACATCCGCACGACTGCGCAGGAAAGAAAAGAACTCATTTAAAGACGGAAATTCAGTTAGATGTGATTTGCACTCTTCCCACTTTCTACTCGTGTGTAAATCTAATTTGCCCGATACCATAAAAATTATAAGGGTATCCCACTTATCTGTAGGCTGCCCTAAGCTTTCTAGGGCGCGCAAGTGCTTTGATACATGATCAATAATGAACCTTAAAGCTTTAAAAGATTCCCTAGAAATTGGTTCTATATTATACAAAGATTTTAAATGGTTATTTATCAAAATGTTTTTATTATCATATCTGTCACAGACTAATTCCCATGCTACAGTATAGTTTCTTGCGGAAAACTCTAAAGATTTAATTATAACCGCTGCACTTCCAGACAAAGACGATCGCAAATAATGAAACTTATTAATAAGCGGAATACTATCATTACTATGAATCATCGCTTCGAAAGTGTCCTTAAATTCAAGCCATTGCAAATAATTCCCGTCAAAACTAGGTAATCTAATGGTGGGAAGCTTAATGGCTGAGTTAACATGACTCTCAAGACTAGAGACATCGTCATCGCGGCATTCCCCCTTCTTTCCATATGCAGGAGAAGTTTCTAAAATCTCCTGAGCCCGAGCCAAAAGAGAACACAACTTTGTTTCAATAAAATCACGTTCATTTATCTGAGAATTAATATCGTCACTTAATAATTCGATTCGATTTTGTAATGAATCAAATTCAGACTGCGAGGATTCTATTCTTTTCATTTTTAACTCTAATTCTCGCAGCATGATGGAGGTAGTTTCACTCCTTTTTATCTTTTCCAACAATTCTAAATATTCAGAAAATTTAGAAAGTCTGCCTTTGATGCATCCGCGAGATCTGATGAGTCTAGCTAGTTCTTCTTTAATTTCTGACTCGGCCTCGGGAGACATTTTTAATTAAATTAAATCGAATGACAAATCTCAAAAGAAACAATGAAACAGATAAAGTGAAAAATCAAACCCAATGGATAACTCCAGTCGGATACAGTCAGCCCGCGCCGAGCCCACAGCACGCACAACTAGCTGGGCCAGCACAGCGCCGCTGAGCGAGCGAAGGCACTGCGCGAGACACGGGCGCTTGAGATGATTCGATAAATAGGCGACTATTGCGCTGAAATAGTTAATAATACGATATAAATAACAATTTACTTATAAACTTTTTTGTTTTTTATTGAGTGGTGGGTAGTTTAATACGGAAAATAAAGATAATCTGCAAGTAATTAATAGATATTTTAAACAATTGTTGATTCTATAATAAAGAATTACTTAATTTTGCCTAAAAATTAAATTATATTTAAAGCACTGAATAATACTAACGTTATGGAGCCAATCAAACATCGACACAAATAGGCTTAATAGGGATAAGGAACAGAAGGACAGAAATAGGGCTACTTCCCGTGAGATAGGCCTCCAGACGAAGATTCACTTCTCCAACAGGTCTCAGAAGCAGCTAAATAGGCCTGTTCTCGTCCTTTCCAAGCTTGGTCGACTTCAACGGCAATTGAGTAATCACGGACTTTTCTTCGTAAATGCAGGAAATTGACGGTTTTCTTCAGCCGTCCTGTCACGGTCGCCAGATGTTCCAGCTCTCGCCGGTTTCGGAGATTTTCAAAACAAACTTGCAGATTTTAAAACTTATATTTTTCAAAACAATCAAATAAAACATTTATAAAATGTTAGGTAACGTTCGTCGTGTACCGCAGTCGAATAAGAATGAATTTTGATCCTGGCTGTTTGGTAAACTTGTCATGTTGGCGCGTGTTTGCTGCAGCGATTTAGTAGGCGCTTGAACATATGTACTTAAACCATTTTTGTCACTTAGTACTACGTGCACAACATTATAAAAGTAAATCTTGAGATACGTATCATAGGAGCTCGTTGGCGCAGGTGGTTAGCGAGTTCGGCTGCGATCGTTGAGTTAAGCAACTTTCGCAAGTGGACGGTCATTGGATGGGTGACCAAAAATATTTTAGCTCGAGTTCCTTCGTGCTTCGGAAGGTACGTTAAGCCGTTGGTGCCGGCTGCATCTGCAGCGTTAGCACCCGCCAATCCGCACTGGGCCCGCGAGGTGGGTCGTGGCTCGCGCCCGCACTTCCTATTTCATCCACAGGAAGGGCTGTGCCCCAGCAGTGGGGACATTAATAGGCTGATGATGATGATGTATTATAGAGCAATATTCTTGTTTTGATTAAGTCAAGCTTCTCTTTACTACATGCTATTTTGATATTTATCCCTCAATCGAAGTCTGTACATATTTTTGAAATCTGTTTAATATTTTCGACTACGAAGCTTCGCATGCATTATGTTTAAGAAAACATGTTTTAAACCAGACGAGAATAATCTTATCCTAATAAACTGAAGCTGTTTATATCATTAGATTTAAAATGCCATGGATTTTTAACTTTTCAGAGTCAGCTAGACTAGAAAGATATTTGCTACGGTATGGTGTACTCGACAGAAAGTTATTTTATATGGAATTATAGTACTGTACTTATAATATTTAGACTGTGCCTAAACAGTTTTTCCATACAAAAGAACTTGCTATCGAGCAAAAGATACTACAGAAAAAAAAACAGTTTGAGTACCGCTGCTATACCTACCTTACAGACACGATTGTATTGCTACATACGGACTGAGGCACACCTTCCGTTTAATCAAACACAGTATAAGATTTCACGTCTTTATTTACTTACAAATAAACAAATAAATTAATGGCTTAAACGGCCAAAGTAAATAAATAAGGTAAACAAGGTCGGTATAATATTGGGTATGCGTATGTCCTAGTGGCAGGTGCAGGCGTCGCGCGTGTTGCTCTTGATCCAGGTGTGGTATCGGTTGACGCGCGTATACACGCCGGGCCGGTCCGGGCGCGCGCAGCCCTCGCCCCACGACACCACTCCTGCAACCGACAACCGGTTAATCGGGGGGGGGGGGGGGGGGGGGAGGACCCTCGTCTTACAACCTTTTTGCATACCTACAAGCCATCCACTCGGTCCAGGCAGCAGACGGGACTCGAACCCTCACTAGTGTTGCCGAACTATCGATATTAAAACTATCGACAGTTTACATCGAAAATCATGTACCCTATCGATAGAATCGATACAACCGATAGTATCGATTCTATCGATAGCTCAGAACAAGGCAATACTATCGAATGAGTGCAATACTATAGATGCTATAGATACTCTTGTAGTTCGTTAATAACAAACTATTGATAGTATCGATACTATCGATAGTGTTGGTTTTATCTGCAACAATACTATCGATAGTATCGATACTAGCGATTGTCTTAGACTAAAGTTTGTGATTGACTATAATACCTGAAAATTGTAAACAATACTATTGCAAATTGTTAAACTATCGATAGTATGGTTGCAAATAAAATCGATAGTATCGATAGTTTGTTATTAACGAACTACAATACTATCGATAGTATTTAACTCATCCTATAGTATTGTCTTTTTCTGTGCTATCGATAATATCGATAGTATCGATACTATCGATAAGCCGATCGATTGTCATACGATTGGTTGGCTATCGATAGACTATCGATTAATCATCGATAGTCGACTATCGATCGGCAACACTAACCCGCACCCTTTGCTATCCGAGGGAATGCACCGACCATTATGCTACCGCGGCCCTAATGGCCGCGTCGAATTCTTTCTAGTATTTCTAAGGCTGCAAGGCAGCGCTATCTCTTCATGTTGTAGATAAAGGTAACCCACAATATCAAATGAATACCTTTACGATATCAAACCAGGCATTTGAAAGAAGAAATGGCACTTGCAGTTATATTTTTTTAAGCATTTAACTGTTAGATGTTTACATTTAAAGAAAATTCTTCTTAATCTGAATCGATAAGCGTAGTCCAGATGACGAGATAGTAGGTAAGACACGATGAAGAAAACGCTATAGTCACCCTCGACTAAGAAATTCTCACTACAATGACGCCACATTTGGCATCGACTGGGCTTAAAATATCGACCGTGAACAAATTAAAGTGCAAGTAACTGGTCGTCGAGCCCGAAGTAGCATACAACAATTTTCGACTTTCTGAAACGGACGAGAGGCACTGGGTGCATTCATGTTTTATGTTTCTTTTCTTGTTCAGTATGATCACCTTGGTAACACATACAACAAATCAAATCCTGTCTCAAGCAACATCGTTCATGTTACATACCAACCATTCTTGGTGCTGGTTGGTGGTGTCGTTCTTGACATGCAGCGGTCCGCCGGAGTCTCCCTGACAGTCGTCGCGGCCGCCCTGACTCAAGCAATATCGTTCGTGTTACATACCAACTTCCTGGTACTGGCCGGTGGTGTCGTTCTTGACATGCAGCGGTCCGCCGGAGTCTCCCTGGCAGGCGTCGCGGCCGCCCTGACTCAAGCAATATCGTTCGTGTTACATACCAACTTCCTGGTACTGGCCGGTGGTGTCGTTCTTGACATGCAGCGGTCCGCCGGAGTCTCCCTGGCAGGCGTCGCGGCCGCCCTGACTCAAGCAATATCGTTCGTGTTACATACCAACTTCCTGGTACTGGCCGGTGGTGTCGTTCTTGACATGCAGCGGTCCGCCGGAGTCTCCCTGGCAGGCGTCGCGGCCGCCCTGACTCAAGCAATATCGTTCGTGTTACATACCAACTTCCTGGTACTGGCCGGTGGTGTCGTTCTTGACATGCAGCGGTCCGCCGGAGTCTCCCTGGCAGGCGTCGCGGCCGCCCTGCGCCTCGCCCGCGCACATCATGTTGTCGGTGATGCGCTGCTTGTAAGCCGTCTTCCGGCACTCCTCGTTCGAAATTATGGGCACGTACGTCTGCGAAACGATGTCAATAACTATATGGCCATGCAGACACAGATTAACGGACGAACGGACAAACTGCTAATATTATTATATGGTATGATCAGGCACAGATGTATCTGCCCGATGCCTGCCTGATGACCGTGCTCAAAGCCACAGAACATAGAAAGAGGTTAGAAGAGCCTCGTGGGCGGGGTAGGCGCGCCACTGTTATGTGTAAGCAATACTCTAAAACTTGATTCTGATTGCGTCGTTGCTCCTTGGTGTGAGCGCTGATAGGTTCAATTGTTTGATGTCGTGTCATTGGATTGGCTATTATATATTACGTGGAAGTGTGGTGGGGCGAGCCGGCGTCATCTGTTGCCGTACAAACGATCTCTGATTACCCTTCTGACCTCCTTCTGTGTTCTGTGCTCAAAGCCAAGCTAACGGATAGGACTCGGGGCAGACATAACCCAGCATCCAACATAAAATCACGCACCATACTGCAGATCTCGGTGTGCAATGCTTTACATATTTACTTTACGCAGCAAAACGCATGCAGGTGCATGATCTGCAACAGTGCGCGAATGCGATTTTGAGTGTGTTACACTACGTGTGTTTCGATATACCTATGATTTAAAATATAAAGAGAGGTATTTTTGCAAGCAACACTCACTCGTGCTGGGAAAAATCAAGTTTGAGTTAAATCGAGATTTAACCAATTGGGTGTAAGTGGGCCTTATCTTACCTTGACTTGCTTTACTGGTCAACAGTAAATAAATTTACAGTGGTATGGTGATCCACTCGGCCATGGAATATAAAAATTTTCGCCAGTCCAATCAACGGTACAATTGTTAAGAAAAATTACCACTTTCATCCTGTTAATTGTACTAAGTACTGTAAAGAAAATAAGCATGGTCCAGTAAACCGGACTGTCGCAACTGAATCACGGGCAAGATAGGTATTAGAATGATCGGCATTATCGATTAGCAATTTGAAACCCGATCAGACAGTTAGTCGACCCATCTCTATATGACAATATCTGCCCATCCTATGACTGACTGTTGAGAAGTATTTGGGATTTCGGGACTATTCGGTTAATGGGTGAATGAATGAGCGACCTTTCGATTTTGCGAGTATTGCGTTTCTTTAACAATTATAACTTCGCCTCAGTGAAGTTGACCGAGGTGTTGGTGAAGACTGAAGACGGCACGTGTTATACAAGTAAACTTGCTTCTCGAATCACTCGTATCTATTGAATCCGTTGCATATACTTTTTTGTGGCAGACAAGGTTTCTGCAGTAATTCCGTGTCAACAAAAGTTACGTAGTAAAAGATTTAAACGAAGTGACAGCGAAACCGAAGAAAGCAATACCTCCTGCAGCGTGTTGGAGACGGAGCCGCCCTCCTCGGTGGTGCCCCAGCCGGCCACCACGCCGCTGTGGTTGGAGTAGGACAAACCGGCGGTCGGCAGGCACACGGGCCGCACCCCCACTTCGGCGTCGCCCGAGCCCGAGCCCTCGCCTTCGCTGCGGACGCGTTTGAGAGCGCTGCTGAGGTCCACCTTCAAAACAATGTCACAATTGTTTAAGAGATATTTCTTTTCGGACGGGGTCTTGATGGAAAAATCCTATGGAAAAGTTGAAACGGAAATGCGTCACGAGGGTCACATGACTATATATATATATACTAGCTGTGCCCCGCGGTGTTACCCGCGGCTTATTATGGAAAATAAATTGTGTATTAACAGTAAAAACAATGACTATTCACATTTTTAGAAGCAAAATAATTTAAACTTAAACATCGGAAAGATCAATTTACAAAATTGGATAACTGATAGAAAAGGAGAGATGATTATGCTATCTTATGTAATTGTTTTTTGTCTCGGGTCGTAAAGCGAGACCTAGAAATCACTTTACTGCAGCACATCCCGATAAACCACAATGCGGGACTTATTGTTTTCTGCGCAAATAAAATGTGTTTCTTGCTCTCGACACACGGGAGCAACCCACGTTCAGTTGTCCGTAGGAAAAGCAGGGGGTGCCCAGGTAAATGCCTGCTACTTTTAGAGTTAGTCCTTGACTTTTATTTACTGTAATAGAGAAAGCCACGTTTATAGGAAATTGTAGGCGCTTGAACTGGAAGGGTAAGTTTGTGGGTATTATAGGGATTCTAGGTATCAATACCGTCTCTCCTTTGGCTCCTCCAGTAAGAATGGTGGTCTGGACGATGTGCCGTCTCAGCTCCGTGATGCGTAACCTAGTGCCGTTACACAGTCTGGGCGCGTCCAGGTTACGCATCAGTATGACAGGCAGACAGACAGCCCTGACAGGTAGAGGGAATTTAAGAATTCTACATGGTATAGGTATTATCCCACAACGGCGAAGCGTTTATCTCATCTGCCGAGGTACCTCGCTCGATAACCAGTAACGTCTGCGGAAAATCACCTGCCAGCAAGACGACCACTCTACCAATAAAGATTCGATTCGGTCCCATGCGATTAATTTGCACCATTGCAGTAGAGCACCACGACTACTACTTTTACTGATGTTGCAAATGGGCGTTTCTTCACTTGCAAGTTTCAGCGGGAGCTTGAATATTGAGTGTCCGGTTCTACCACCACTCAGCCAGGTTGCGGCTATTCTGGAGGATGCAACAGCCAGCGCAACCACTTTGTCTTTGCACAACTGTGCCAGCAGCAAGTTCATTAAAAAAGTCTTGCCGGTGCCCCCTGGTGCGTCCAAGAAAAAAGACTTTCAGCGCTTCTTTAAAAATTATGTCTAGTGTTATCCCTTGTCGAGGAGCTCGATGGCGCAAGTGGTTAGCGCGTTCAGCTGCGATCGTTGAAGTTAAGCAACTTTCGCAGTGGTCAGTCATTGGATGGGTGACCAAAAATTTACTATCTCGAGCTCCTCCGTGCTTCGGGAGGCACCACCCACCCATCTGCACTGGGCTCGCGCGGTGGGTCATGGCCCAATCTCCCTATTCCATCCATAGGGAAGGCCTGTGCCCCAGCAGGGGGGACACTGATGATATTGATGATCCCTTGGTATCGGCGAGCAATGTCTTCTGACAAAGCGCTTTTTATACTTGTACCACAATTGCCGGGGGTTGGAGAGTCCGCAGGTGCTTAACATAATCACAAAGAGCTCTCTCAACGTAGTCGCTGACCGACACAACATTGCGCACTCCATCGTTGCGTCCCAGTGGCCGTCGTATTCAAGCAGCTTCATCGCCTCACATGCTTCTTGAAAAGTGGCCTTTTCCTGCCCATCGACGATTTTGAGCGTTTGAAAACTGGTAGGACCCCGGATTCTAGTAATAGCAACAGCAACCGTACACAATGGCACTCAAAGTGTGTTATGTGTGCGGTATAAATTCTACCGTGGGCATCTAAGGCTTTCACACCAGGCCAACCGTCGACGGGTGCGCCCTGCACGCAACGTTCCATTGTTTTCGTGACGCATTCCACGTGCGAGCAAACTCGTCTTCCTGGCACAGTTGCTCGCTCCATACCTTGAATGATTTGACACCTTTTGTCAGTTTCCGCGTCGTCGTCTCCCATAAAATACACCTGTAAAAATTGTGGCTGTTCATTAGGTGATCATCACCCATTTTTGATGTAGTTGGCCATACACTGTGAACAGGACAATGGCGAAATATTTGTTGAAGTAAATCTATAGCGTCTATAGATGTCATTATCAGAATTGTTAATAAAATAATCTCAAAAGATTTATTAAACAATTGAGGAGGGTTGTCTAAGTCTGGAATTAAAAACTTAAAAAAAGGGAAACACAATTGACTATTTATTTTTTATTTTTATTGTGGCTTGGCCATGACGGCTTTTGAGCCATTCATTTTAAGTGATTTTAGTGATGAAATCAACTTTAAATATGTTGTTCGTATGTTTTGCATTGCTTTACGCTTGAACTGTATTATTTATGAAACATTATTTTTCAATATTATACTGAAACCATCTTAAATAATCTCCACAATACAAAAAGCCTGTGGCTATTGTAATCCAATGTCAAGTCATATTCAAAACCACATTTTTCAAATAAGCCCCAAGCATTTCCTTTAAATGTTTGCCGGCACTCTGCTTGTTGCTGAGCGACTGCGAGTCGTCTAGAATTTGTCTCATCTACTGTCTCGGAAGCACGCGGATTAGTCATTAGCTAGGCATGATTTAGCCGTCGAGAAGTTTCTTCATCAGGTGTTTCAATGGCACGCTGAGTGGACATACGCTATGCGTTTTCTTGATGCCAAGTAGCTGCTACTTCAGGTGTCTCTAATGCACGTTGATTAGCCATAAGCTGGGCATGCTCTCCCAGTCAATTTTATCCCAGGAAATTGATAGAACACTACGGGGTGTGTACACTTCTAAAATTTTTTTGGACAATTTTTTTGAAGTTATACTTCTTTAGCCGCATCACTGTAACACAAAAGTAACATAATGAAGTTAGCCGCGGGCGCGTCATGAAAAAATCATGTGAGTGAAAATGATCGCGTTGTCAAAAACAATGTTGGCACGCTCGTCGCCTCTGATCACTGTTTTCATATTTATAATATTTATCCACATGTTTCTAGTTTCTATATAGACACAACGTGTTTTAGTTACTTACAAGTGCTAATTACATATGGACTAATAACTTAAATTCAGTAGTGATTTGAATTGAATATTTTGAATATTTATTTAATTTTTCAAATTAAAACTGAACTTAATTGACTGTGTTAACTATCCTTTTCCAGTCCTTTTATTATTTTATTGTAATTATTAATTATTTGCATGCAATTAAAAAATATTTTTAATGATGCTAAAGAAGTATAACTTCTCACGCGCGTACATAAGTTACACGCATCCATTTTTTTTTACTGTGGTATACAAAGAAATACATACATCCCTAAATTTTCTCTTCTTCCACCTGCCCCTATTTTTATGGCGGTACGAAGTTCGCTGGGTCAGCTAGTTATAGATATAAAGAAATAGACATTGAAATAATATATGGTAGCAGTATGAAATATTAATCTATCAAAATAGCTTTGACATGAATGTTAAAAAATATGTACCTACTTAAACAAAATTCATTTGCATCGATTTTCCCATCAAAATCAGATATTTTCCCGCAGTAAAATGTAGCCTATGTGTGTATCAGTTAACTCCACACCAAATTTTATTAAAATCGTTCCAGCCGTTTAGACGTGAAGAAGTAACAAACATACACACTCACATACTCACAAACTTTCGAATTTATAATATTAGTGTGATATGTGCGTGTGTGTGGGATACGTACACAACTCGTTCCGCCGAGCATGAAAGTTGGAGAACGAACACGTTCCTAGTTCCTAGCATCACGAGCGTCGTGCGCGATAATATATATTATATTATATATACACATATAAGTATATGAGAGATTCGCTGCGTTCGCTGCGTTCGCTGCTCCATTCCCCTATGTTTCACTTTAGATGTGTGGTCCTTGCACTTTTTTTTTTATCATTATTATTTAGGTAGAATTCGAATCAAACTCAATGGCGGCTGTGAAGTTCTACTATATTCTGCTTTCTGTTAAGCACAGACGAATAACAAACTCTTAAAATTTTCCGATCTATATATTTTAAGTAGAGGCATTAGAGCTGGGTATGTTTTAAAGGCAATGAACCTAATATTAAATAATAAGCCTTAAAATATATACCGAATTAAATTTCAAAAAAATAACAAAGTACGAGTCGTATTTATCAAACCTATGTAGATATGACATAAAACTCAATTAGAATCAATATTTTTTTATGTCGGTGGAAGCGTTATCATTCGGAATGGGGAAAGCTTTCAAAATCTATAGAAAGACTAGCCGACCCAGAGAACTTCGTACCGCCATAAAAAAATAGGGGTTGGTGGTAGAAGGGTGAATATTTAGGATTATATGTATTTACTAATGCTGTATCATAAAAAAAATATCTAAAATTGAAAAAAAAAATTGGGGTGGATTACCCTTAAAATTTAGGTGGATGAAAAATAGATGTTGTATGATTCTCAGACCTACCCAATATGCACACAAAATTTCATGAGAATCGGGAAAGCCGTTTCGGAGGAGTTTAACCACAAACACCGCGACACGAGAATTTTATATAATTACTAGCTGACCCAGCGATCTTCGTACCGCCCTAAAAAAATAGGGGTTGTCCAGCGGACAAAATTGTGAATCTAAACCATTCTCAGATCCCCTTGAACACACACAAAAAATTTCATCAAAATCGGTCCAGTCGTTTAAGAGAAGTTCAGTGACATACACACTCACAGAAGAATTATATATATAAAGATTAGATATAGAACAGAACGCAATTTCTGCCTTTACCCGTTGGTCGAGCTTTAGCAGCGCGATGTCGTTGTCATAGGTGGAGGGGTTGTAGCGGAGGTGCCGGATGATGGCGGACACCTTGCGGTCGATGGTGCTCGTCTCCGAGCTGTTCGAGCGGTCGTGCTCCAGGAACCGCACCGTCAGCCGCTCCTTGCGGAAACTGAAACAGAGAGAGCACATCATAATTAGGTATCTATCTATTTATTTATATTGCAACACTGGTGTACGATGTGTCACTAAAATAAGGAAATCATAGTAATACATCAATGTGTTTATCATATTATTGGATATTTGCCATGCTAGACGTTCATAAAAAAGAAAAGTTTATAGGTACATAACATATTAAGCATCAAGCAATAATCTAAGAGCTAAAAAACGTGTGCTTAAGCTATTCAGAGCTCGATGGCCCAGATCGTGGCAGTTAAGCAACCTTCGCAATGGCCGGGCAACCGAAATTCACCTTGTGAGTGCGCGGCCCATATGAAAATCGGGAGCCGTGACCATTTCCGCACTTCCGACACGCATTAAGGAAACTGCGATACTCAGAGTGTGGGTCGGGTGACCCGTGCAGCTGTAATATCAGCTGTAATAATAGGTTTTTAATGAGTAGATCCCATTCATTTCAACGAGGTTGGGTTGAATAAAATGAGCGGGAAGGAGTCCATAGATAGCCCCTCACCCTTTAATGTTTTATGTTTCATTTACATTGTCGCGCGAGCCTCGAGACGAGCCGCGAGACGACTTGTGGCTCTTGTGGCTCGCGTCGGGAGCGGTTTTTCGGGTCTAGTACCCGTTGGACCCTCAAGATTCGACCCAAAAGCAAAAAGTGCCCATTGGGCCTCCTTTTTGGTGTCCATTGGACCTTCTTAAAAAGTTTTATACTCAATGTTCCCATTGGACCTCTTTCGGGCACGAGCCAAAGGGGCTCGCGGGGGATGCGAGCGTGTATTTACATTCGCGTTGGCTAAATTTTGCAGATTTCTTGTCCATTGCCGTACAGATCTAATTAACATGTAGTCCAAATAAATGTATTGCTAGCAGCTTACGTACAAAAGAACTTAAGTAGGTATATGCTTGATTCCACCTATACAAGTATAAAATAACAGTTTTAAATCTCAATTAATTATCTTATAAACTGTCTATATATTATACGTGATCGCCCTCGCCACATAATAAAGGTGTGTGTGACTGACCCGGCGGTGCAGTGCGCGGCGGTGAGCACGTACAGGTCGTTGATGAGCGAGCCGGCGCAGTAGAAGCGGCCGTTGTACATGAGCACCGCCATCCAGGGGAACTCCAGCATCTTCGTCTCGTAGCCGCCCACGATGCGCCGCCGCGTGCGCGCGATACCGCACTCTGGAAACATTTATGCTTCACCTGCTGGAGCATAACCACCGGGTTTGGGTCCAACCCTCATAAAAGGTCAAAGTCGACCATAATTGAGTCGGAGTATAAGTTCGTTCTATATAAATAAAATCGATGTATAGTGCACTCCTACAAAAGAGCCCCGACGACGCCCTGAGCAAAAATTTGTGGTGTACGCGGTTCTACATGGGCAAAGTTATGGGCCGTAAACCAATAAAATTATAGATTTTCGCTCACAAAAATTAATACATACGTACTTGACGAATCCAAATCTGCTTTTTTTTATTTTGTGTCTGTAACATGACGTGACTTTTTTCACTGTAGATTTCATCCTGATGTATCTTTAATGGTTGCAAGCTCTGCCGCAGCACCAGTTCAATATTACAATTAGGCAGTGGCAATGTGCTCGGATAAGTTGACAAATCTCATAAATAGATGTATCCTATGATTGTATTTAACGCAGTCATTGACCCGTTAACTTAAAACACGTTGATGATCTTCCTCAATAACAAAAGTGAAAACAAGTACCTACTTACTTACTACTAATTTATATGTTGACTTTTACTTATGCATATTTATATTGAGTTTAGTCAATAATCTTACATTCGACATTTTTTTCACATGCAATGAACTTGGGAAAACAGTTCCGTGGTTTACATAGTAACTCTTCACCTTTCCTTTTTTTAAACAATAGGGAAGATGCAATATTTTTATTTTTGTTTTCATTTTAAAGAATTCCATGTAGAATAAACCACAGATATATTAAAAAATTAAAACATTGTGATTTATCGGAAAAAATGCGGTTTTAAATTGACAATTTAAATTTTCGCGCGAAAACGAACCTATGGTTGCGATGACGTCGCTCCTGTCTGTCACTGGTCGTACTTGTTCGTTGCTGGCTTTAAATTTTCATACTTTTGCATATTTTTTCGACTTTCGAAATATTTTTTTTTGAAAAGTTTAGAATGGACTATCCATCAACATCATGTGATCATAACAATACCACTAATATTCCGAAAAAAAGCCGTGTTGACTCATGTTTTGTGCCAATCTACTTCAACAAAGTTCCCAAATAAATTGTTTTTGACTAGAACTTCTGACCCAAAACTGAAAAAAAGTGGTTTCAATCTGCGAAGAGAAATTATTCTCCAAAGACAAAGATTATTCGATGCTGAGAAGATCACTTTGACGTAAGTCGGCGAATATACTAGTTATATGCTTAATTAATCTGCTTGTACGTAAAAACGCATTAGTAACCTACCTAATATTTACAAAACCTGTCTATAACATATTTTTAATTTTACAGTTGGAGAATGACGACGAAAATTAGATAAAGTTTAAAATGTGTGGCACAATCTTCACATTGGCAGGACTGAACCAAGCTTTGCGTTTCATTTAAAATAACTGTAACACGATAACCTTCTTTACGTACTTTATGCTCCGGAAAACTCGACCTTCTACTGTACATAATTCTCCATCTCTTTTAATTTGAACATAGCCGATTGCATTATCGCCGTAAGATTTGTAGAAGCCGCTGAATAAAATACGAAGTTTAACAACTACGATTTTTACATACCGTAGTAATTTAGTCCCTTTCATTTGTACACTTAAAAACTCTGCACTTTGGACAAAAAAAGTTATAACCATGTCAACGCTAACTCTTGGTAAATTCCTGGAGTCTGCTTTGACAAACGCAACTTCCATTTTTATTAAATGTAAAAAAACGCAATAAATATTCCCATAAAATAATATTTACTTTAACAACCATAACCTCAAAGAAGTTGTCATAACAGGAGTGACGTCACTAAACGCTGATTGGTGTTTTAAAATACGTTCCGTTTCAAGTATTTTTAACTCGTAATAATTGTTAAAAAACAACATTATGTAAAATAAAAACGTTGCAGTGGCATTTCTTTTATATTTTTTTAACATTTTAATCATAAAATTTTCATAATTATTGTAGATGCATCTTCCCTATTCGTACTTATTAAGTACCTACTGTTACTACGTGGAATTTTAACGAAAACTTGTATCTTATACGAGAGTGGGTGAACTCCTCATTTTAACGTGTAAAAATCTACAGTAGATTAAAGACTGAGTCAATATAACAGATCCCGCTCGCATTGCACCGGTCTGGAGAACTAATTTTACACAGTTAAACTACAACTTAGAACAGTTTAGAACTACACCACCAACAATTTTTGAGAAAGAGGGGACTGCTAGATGTTTAAATCTAAAGTCTGCTGCCTGGTCCGCGTGGGATTTTTTCTAGTAAGCTTTTCTTTAGAGGAGGGTAAGTTTGACATGTTTGTGTGTCTGTCTGTCTGTGGCATCGTAGGTCCTAAACGAAGGGACCGATTTGGATTTTTTATTTAAAAACTAAAATAGTCGTGATGCTTCTTAGCTATAATTTATGAAGATTCGATCAGAGTTTTGTAGATCACTAGCTCATTTCCCATTTGAGAATAGGTTCTTATATGTATATTTGACATTTGTTATTGACTTAGAATTTGTTGCACTTTGCTTTGGTGGTATTTCCAAGACATGGTAATGATAATGGTATGTACATCACCTACACATGTGTCATCACACAGCATCAGGTACATCAGGTATCAACATCTCAGCTACTTAAAGCAGAAGAGGCGTGTTCTGGCTTAAGAGAATGATTTCCTTGAATAAATTTCGATCGAAGCGCTATTTGTAGTGTGTCTACTGGTAATTGAAAAATATTGAAATAAAAAAAATCAAATTGAAAATACTCCCGAACCAAAAATAATCTAAAAGTGATAAAATATAATGTGTTGGTCCTTTAACTTTATTGTAACTAACTACTCAGTAATAGTGAGACCCAGACATCGTCAAGTCGGAGGACTATGATACGAGACTTAAAGGTACCAAGCAAAAGAGTTTTCCTATTTAAATATAAATTTCATCAGCGGTCCTTGGACTTGACGATATCTGGGTCTAACTAATACTTTAGTTCCAAAATATTAAAGGGCAATACACTTTATTTCTTAACTTTTTAGATTATCTTCGGATCGGGTTTTTTTTGGTGTGATGGTACCAGTCAGTGTTCCAGTTAGGGTGAAGCCAAACGAGCGTAATTTTGTGAGTTGTGAGTCGCTTATTTTCGGTCACTTATTTTACGTTCAACTGAATTTCTGTTGAGCTGCCATACGAACGTAATTTATTCAGTTACTATTGAGCGTTAGTACGGGGTGTTCGTGTCGTCGAGTGCAATGGATCCATTAAAAATATTGTGTATTTACGAAGCATATTCAGAAGATGAGGGCAGAAAAAGAAACTGAGTAAACCCACTGAATAGTCAGAGGCTTATGTGGACAGTTCCATACTTTATATGAACGTTTATGTGCAAATCCAGATATGTTTAAAAAGTACTATCATATGCTATTACGTGTTTTTCAAGAATTATTACACCACGCAACTTGTAACAAACTGTTGCTTCCCCACTCCCCTTCCTTGCCCTACCCTCACCCCGACCGAAATTCGGACGAGCTTATGCGCATTGAGTCGGCAGACAACTCATTTTGCGTTGTCGTGTGGCACCAACTGCCTTTTTGTATGAAACCGAATGCAGCAGAATTTCTGCGACCGAAATTCTGCGACTCACCGCTCACAAAATTACGCTCGTTTGGCCTCACCCTTAGGGATTGTGTTCAGCAAGGTGTGGGTAGCTGAAGCTGCCTACTTGTTGCTTCTTCTGCCGTGATGCGGCTGGGTTTGCAATTTGATTCCATATATACTAATCTTCAGGAGGGAATGTGTTTTAGTTATTAGTAATGATTTCCCCTCGTTTATATTCAGTAAATAATAATATAAAAAACAGTTAATAAAATTGTAGATTATGCATGAAAAAAATGATCATAATGTTACGTGTCGGGATGGGGTTCGAAATTATGTGCCAGTTCACGCTTGACAGTACTTTATTCGCCACACAGCTAACACACAATGTTAATCACAATACAATCTCTAAAGATTGTACTTCACACTTTGAACACTTGCACTTTGTTCCGAAATCACTGTTGATACTCAATTGTCTCTGCGCGGCGCGGCGCCGGACGCGCTTATATACGCCAATCGACGCATTCTAAAAAAGTCCAGTTAAATTGAGAGTTAACTAGCACCCGCGAGTGCGTAGTATCTACTTATACCAACGTAGGTAACGCGCATAAGTTGTAAACAAGTGTAGATGTCGTTGCACTTTTTCCCTTACGCCGCACTGCATAAGGCTCATTTTAGAATGAGCCGCGCCACTCGATATTCACGTCGCGATCCGCGGTGTTCTGATAAAATCTGTCTCCAGTATTTTTGCAGTTTTGTTTCGAGACCCTTTGTGACAGTAATTATACAAATATTTGAGATCTTAACCAAAGATGCTCTTTGGATGAAATTACAAAAAACGAAAAAAAATGCGAGTGAAGTGACTACCTTTATCTCGCATTTAGTGTCGCCTACTACGAGTATTGTAGCTCAGTTGGGAGAGCAATTGTGCGGCAAACCTTCCCGGATCCGAGTCTAAACACTGGCGTCACCTAAAACAAAGAATTTTCATCATCTAAAAAGTACAGTGTTGGACTCACGGCAAGCGGGGCAGTTGTCGGGCGGGTCGTTGACGGGGCGCAGCGTGGTGGAGGAGCCGCCGCCCAGCAGGTTGGAGATCCAGTCGATGAAGCCCTTGTCCTGCGGGCCCGGCGTAGGTGTGCTGCGCGGCGCCGCCTCCGTGCTTACTGCCGCGCCGCCCTCTGCAGCCGCCAGCGCGGCCAGCGTGCACAACGCGCCCAAACCCATCACCACTCTCATCATACTTACTATTCAAACAAAACATCACGGAGGTTATAAATAGGTATTTCTCAAACATGCTTGGAAATTTGAGCATTATTTCGACAACCTTCTTCGAGATAAATCGAAATTGCTGTCACTGGCCATTGGCCAAAAATTGTATAAAAATCCAGTTAAACTCAGATCTTTTACTAGAAAGCTTGACAGTCTAGGAGGTAACCTATCAAAGGTTTTATATAAATTTCGAACTGACTTACAAATAGAAAGCTGATTATTGAAATAAAACAAAAAAATAAAGACTGTTATTGTTCGTTGTTCATTATTGATTTTGAAAGTTACTACTTAGGTACTACTTAGTTTTAATTTTCACGCATTAGTTGTGAAAAGTACTATACAAGCCTTAACCACAACTAGGCTTTGATGTACGTTTACACATTCGTCCATCAATACCTCTTTTGTTGGTCGCTGCAGAAATGTACTATTACCCCAGTCCGCGTGCTCCAGCTAAGTTACATCAGTTGTGATTGTGGTCAAACGCAATTAAATCTTTTATATATTTTTACATTTAATAAACAACCATGACTCGGGTGTAATAATTGCAATCACCACAGAAATAAATGTTTCTACCGGCACTTTTTCCCAGGATCTTTGGAGCACCGGCAGATCTTACAATCTTACCTGTCAGAAAATCTCTTCCAACTCGCACCTTTTTCGGTTTTAAAATGTAGCGATCTGTGGTCAAGATGCTTTGCGTTGCAATTCCTAAGCCGTAAAATTAAAAAAAGATTTATAGAGCACTGCTTTGCAAAGTGCATCGCAGCATCTTGTTTGGTACTCCACTGGGAAGCCAGCATGAACTTAGCTGCAGTTTAGGAAGACAAATTATTATGATTTAAACCAATAGTTATCATAACTTGTTGTATATCAACTAGAGTATGGTCTGTATCCTTATAAGGCGTTGCTGATGAAATGAATGATGTTGGAAATGATCCGAATAGCGGTACTTAGAGAGCGATGCGGTGTGCGGCGCCCGACCGCCCGACAGTTAGTCGGGCGATTTCACCTTGTCCTTGATTTGCGAAACGTAATCCGAGATGCAATTTAAGAACGGACTTTGATTAATAAAAGTTGAGTTAAGCCAATTAATATACTTAGTAACAGTTATGACAATAATTATGCGCGCTCTTCGGCCAGCCGGTTGTATGTTATTCAAGTTTGACGTTGGTCTCCACCTACATTCGAGGCGCCTTTCAAAGTCTTAATTTAACTTTTCTAGAGCTAATTCATATTGTTTTTCTATTTATTTTACAAAATATTTTATAGACAATAAAGTGGTTATTACGTCACCTATAGTGTTAATTTAAGAAGGCTTAATAAGCAATGCTGTGTTATCTAGCATGCTGAGTTGATCGCTGTAGGTATAGACCGCTTTGTATTCAGTGCGCGTGCGGTCCGTCCCGACCAGTTCTAAGCCTTAGAGAGCCGAGTCGCCGTCGGCTTTCCTGTTAGCCTATAAATACCATATAAACTGCGCAACCGAAAAGAAAGTACTATCACTTAATCAGACAACGTATGGGAAAATGGAATAGATCAAAAGTTGGGTCAAAAGATGGAGCAGTAGAATTTCCATCCGAATTTGAATATTCCTGTGCACGAGGAGATACCCTCGAATTTAAGAAGCATGCACCGAAATAACTAATCCTATTTTGTAATGTTGTGTTCGGCTGCAGTGCAGCGAGTACGTGAGATATCATAGAACTCATCGGTGTAGTGTGAGGGCAGTCGAAAACGGGAGACCTCCTAGATCTATAAGTATATCGTCTATCGGAGACAGTACCGGAACATCTTCGAAATTTGAAGTTTTGAGTTAATTAAATAATTCAAAAACTTTGAAGTTGAGTTCTTTAATTAATCCAAAACCTCAAATTTCGTAGATATTCCGGTACTGTCTCCGATAAACGATATGTCGTGTTCGTGTGACCTTGCATCTGAAGACTATTATAACCGTATCCAAAAGCAGGCCATCCTGCTTTCTTCAATATTTTAACATTTATAAAAAATATCGTATCAGATATAAATATACAATATTTGATAACTAGTTTATTCTGATTTTAAGTTTTTAGACAATAAGTAGTTTTAAGCTTTTGTAATAATTTTACACATTTCTAATTGAACATGTAAGGCAACATATTTGACTAATTCGAATATGTTGTCTTACATGTTCAATTAGAAATGTGTTATACTAATATAACGATACGTTATACATCATAGGTGTTAATATGTGAAATCAAAATTGTTCGTTATTGCATCTCGAATAATGTAAACATATGCCTAATATTTATAGTGACTATGCTTCGGTGCTACCCAATATAAGCCTTAAGAAACAGTATGTTTAAAAAGGCGACAGGAAACGTTTTCTAAAAACTAAAATGATAACAAAAACTTGGTATTGTTATTGTTGTTAATTAGAAAAGTGTTAGCCTTTTCATTCAATTCAATATACATATTTGCATTTAATATGGTATATTTTATAATGTTACATTGCATCTAAATTGCATTTTACTATAGTTGTCAGTGTGTTTACGATCTCACTGTGATGTACACTTTAAGGAAGCATATTTGTCCGACATTACAATATTAACTGATTCATCATCAGCAGAGTATGGTCTAATGCTTTATAATATTAGGTAGGTCATTTATGCACTGGAGGAATAAAAGTGGTCTAAGAACACTTCCCTGAAGAACGCCAGAACATTTTTCTTAGAAGTTAAACTTAAAAGTTCGTGCTATTTGTTCCATATCTACTTGCTAAGTAGAAACTTAGTCCGGAACAATATAGGCTCATGTTAAAAAAATATATAGGAATTTTGTAACGACTGAACTCACCGTTCTTTCTCAAATGCGAATTCACCAAACACTTTTGATCACAAGTTACCAACCACTTTTCGGCAAAGGTGAAAGATTCAAACACGAACTGGCGAGCAAGGAGTCGGCCGCGTTTTGATAAAGGAAGCCGAGCGGCGCCGGCGACTCGGCCACGAGCTAGCGAGACCGCCTATGACTCCGAAACAGAAAGAGAGAGAGCTATCTTCACTTTCACCCGCCTGATGGTCCACTTCACCCTCACAGGACTGCCTCCCGAGTGCTGCGCTCCCGCCCGCACACCCAGTTATAAGCTCCATACATCGTCGTCATAAATTCCTAAAATGATGTAAGGTAACATTAATGGAATCACATATGTAAATGCTGTAATTATTGTCATTACGATAACTTTTCATGTGGGGCTTAGGTAAATATGTTTCACCGGCATGCGACGCACACGAGAGATCCACTTTTTCACAATAGGTAAGGTAAACGATCATCGTTGCGGTTATGATATGACAACACTTAGTTTATTAAGTTGTCGAGATAATTTCCGGACATTTTGAATGAGGCATTACAGAAGTTTAGGTAATTTAACATCCCGTACCTTAGTAACCTAGTGAATACATCCGATGGTTTCTGAATGGAAGAAATTTATATTAAAAATTATGTGAATTAATTACCTCACGAAATTATTATAGTGATTAACTTTTTGACTGAATACCTATACCTATGTGGCATAAATACTTTTCCCATCTAGAAACTTTACATTATATTGATTGTTTGCATGAACATGACCACTTTCTGTTGCCTGCGGTTTTATAGAAGGTGTTCTGAGGTTTATTTTATTGCGTTCATTTTTATTTCAGGCGTTTTAATTAGCATCATGCTAATCATTCGTCGAACCAGGCGCAGTCCTAAGGACAGGGGACATGACCTCAAATTCACTCACGTCAAATTGAAAATCTCTGCCCCTAGCCGCGATGCATGTATCTAAGCTCGCGACGAAGATCTCTACCCGAATAGAAAGACTTGAATTGAAGGAATGCGTCGTCGGAAGGATGTGAAACGTTAATAAATAAATAAAATCAGTACATCTAACCCGTTGAAACTTGTTTTATTCAGTCTTTCTATTCGGGTAAAGATCATCGTCGCGGGCTTCGATAAACGCATCGCGGCTAGGTGATAGAGATAGCAGAGATGTACTCCAACTTTTCAAATAACCCCAAAAATTGTTTGGCATTATTAATTATTAGTTAAATACCATTGTTTTAACATATAAATCATACGTGAAGCTTTGCAGACCAAGAAGTTACAAGACCAAGCCCAGCAGGGCAGCCGACTTAAGGCACTCAGCCCAAACCGGGGCTCCGTAGAGTGCCATTAACCGCATCACGCCGTGATACAGTCGACGGCACGCGCCTCTGGTCCAACATGAAATTTGGGCATGAACATTGGGAAATACCCTTCTGAGTGCGGCTGCAGCGGCACACAACCAGGAAGCAACGACCTCAAAGTGCTTCTCGAATTTCCATCGAGGGTCCAGCACCAGGCTGAGGTACTTTAGGCTTCCCTCGACTGGTATTTGGACACCCTCCACCTGGATACGGAGCCCCGCTGGGATCCTGCGGCGTGGGCTGTGGAACATCATGGCGCCGGCTCGTTTTATCGAGGGCCACGTCCAGGCCTAAGAGGCGTTTGTCTTGGATGACCAGTGATGTGCCAATCGACGCAAGATGGGCCTCCTCCTCCACCTTTTTCGCCTTTGCCGTGACGTCGGTGAAACAGACAACCTCCATGCCTGGCAGGAGCCTGCCTCACAAGACCCAATTGTTCTCAAAGTTCCAGAGCAGTGGGCCCAGCACTGATCCTTGGTATACCTGCCACTATGGCCTCGGAGTGGATGACGTCGTCGGGTCCCTCGTAAAGAATTGTCCTGCCTAGCTGGTACTCCTCCACGATGCGTACAGGTACGGAGGTACGCGGTGAAAGCGAAGTGCCTCCGTGATACTCGTGGGGGAGACTGTTAAATGCGTTGAGGACCGCAATAACAGTCTACCCATGTAGCGGCCGCCTCGATCCATCCCTTCAGGAGGGCCACCGCGTCCATAGTAGACCGGCTGAATCGGAAGCCGAAATGGTTATCCGGCTTACCAAGATCTTCTCTAAGAACTTTTCGGCATCGTCGAGCACTACAATCGGCCGAAATCCCGAGGGGGAATCATCATCAACAAGCAAAGGGGCGCTAAAAGGCAATAACGCTGCACTTGCGTCGGTGCAGCGTGTAAAAGCTGGTTTTTCGCGAAGTATATTATTATCCGCAAATACGCCGCCAATACAGAAATCGTGATTATGGAATGGTAATTAAAAATATATTCCTACAATTCAAACTGATTAATGATTTAGCAGTGGCATTTGCCATTTCCCATAGGTTGTTTAATTTTCATCCAGAAATTATAAAGCTCATTGGCCATTCTTAAGTCGTCACTATATTTTTAAATAAATGTCACATTTTCAGTGCTTATTGCCTCTTATTATGGGATAAATGCACTGCGCAGTTGTCAGCATTTCACAGGCAGACTATTGACAATAAGCTTATAACAACCTTAGTCTTCGTGCAACCCTGATTGTAGATATTTGCACTGTGCACCGTGCGCCGACACCCCACGCTTTTTGGGAAGATCCAGTAGGCCTATTCGCTAACTTCTTTTTGACAAATGGAAGTGATAATCACCGAGCTGTTTAGTGATCGACTACTGCTTCACTCTAACGCCTTTAAGATACTTGTTCTGAAAAGCATCGATGGAAATGCAATTTTCTTTTTAGTTATACACTGTAAATGTCGAAAACGTTAGGGAATAGGCCGGCTGGTGACCTACGACTCTACGAGGCAGTCCGTGCCCCAATGTTTTTAAGCCGTGTACCTTTCGGATCTCTGATTAAAATATAGGAGGAAAATTAAGAGGAGGTCTTATTTGAAGCCTTGAAAAGAAGTACTTCACTTCTGTTGGTATTGTGCTTGAGGCCGGGAGCATCAGCATAGTCCTTAAAAATTTGCCCGTTTTTAGGGTTTCTTGCGTCAAAATAAAAAAACTGTGAAATCAAATATTTGTTATCGTCACAACTTAGAAAGTACATTATATTCATAGATAAATGATTGGTCTCTTGAAGCGAGACCAATCATTCATCTATGATTATATAGGGTTACAGGGAAAGTAGTACTGAATATTGAAGGACGTTATTATTCAGGTCATTTCTGATAGATTTGATCCTATAATATGGTGTCCGAAACATAACCGTTTTGGAGATATTTGATATGTAAGATTTTATTAAAAAATCCTATATTTTTTGGGTTTTTGTCGATTTTTTTGAAATTAGAGCTCCAAAGGTCCGATTTTTTAATGTATCTAGTTAGAAGACATGTCAAACAATAAAAATAATGAATAAAAACTGAACCTACTTCTAACGGCTTAAAAAAACTGCTCGACAACGGTTGTAACTAAAGTGTTCTTAACTTTGAAGCGCTATTCTAAAAAAAATGTATGGAACTTATTCTGCAAATAATTTTAAAAACTTCTACGTCTCTTTAGCTATTCAAAAAGGTATAACACTTGCTATTAAATTGGCAAAACATTGACCAAATAACAGTTATGGTAGCAGAGGGTACATTTTTAGTTTGAGGTAAAAATAAAAAAGCTTAGTAAATATTTTTAAAATTCATGTTCAACATGGCCGCCGCTATTTCTAACACATATTCTCATTCTTTTTCTTATATATATTTATATTATAGGACCAAATCCATCAGAAATGACCTGAATAATAACGTTCTTCAATATTCAGTACGACTTTCCCTGTAACCCTGTATATATATGGATACTATGATTATATACTACATACTCATGGATACCCTACAGCCGGCTGCAAGCTTATGTATGTCAAACTCTTACTGACTAAACACACCCGTAGTTCATGCTTATGGCCAGAAGGGCCTTACAAGCTTCATCTGAAGCGAATCCTCTGTGAATAAAGAGAAATAATTTGTTAGTAAAAATTTGTTGTAAGCTTTTTAAGTAAATATTTTTTTACAAAAATTAAATCGTTACCTATGGTAAAACCAGACTGCTCCAACTGATAACTTACTAATAGCTTCTTCCAATTCTGTTAGCTTAGAGTCGGTCCACAGTGTGCGCGTGTCGTAGGTGGTAGCCGGATCTTACCCGGCGATTATTAGTACCTCTGACTAGGGGCCGATCTTTAATTATGCTAAACATCTTGAAGGTGCAAATACAACCATCCCTTAATCTCTCAGTAAATCTCAATAAGGTGCCTAACCATATATTCCCACATTTTTAAGAGAACTATAATACAATAAAGAGTTTTTGTATTGCATTGTATTGTATTTTCATCTTTTGATTTCTATTTTAAAATATCTATTTAATGTAAGTATTAAATAACATTTGCAGTAGAAATAAGCTTTATGTATGTGTGACGTGAGCTATCATTTGCATAACTATTTCCGTGATTTTACCCATATTTTAATAGTTCTTCTGCTCTTTGGGGCGGAGAGGAACCCAAAAAATCAGATCGCATAAAAATCGGTTCAGCCTTTCTTAAGTTATAAGTGTACTAACTTACACGACTTTGTTTTATAAGTTTGTATAGATTAGCTATTATTGAACATAATATTTTAACTCGACTCGATTTAGGTCATTATATTAAATCAATGCCAAACGAAATGGATGTCTATTCCAAAGGTATGTCAAATTGCAGGAAATGGTGTAAAATAGCCGAACATATTATAACGTCTTCGGATCGTGTTTCCATAATGTACTTACCATGTAATCAAATGTATTTCTTCTTTAATAAATATAAATGTACTACAATGTTTGTTGTATCGGTTCCGACGAGTTTCTTCTTATTTTTCTCATTTGCGTTTGTAGATAGGCCAGCCTTTCCTCTCAGATTTATTTTTAACTAGCTGTTACCCGTGGCTACGCTCGCGTGGTTTTCCTATTTGAGGCTATCATCCTCTTGTGACATAGTGAGTAAAAATAGTTATTTATTATACAAGAGTGGAAAGTTCCTTTTTAACCGCGTGCTCGATTTGGATGACCGAGCAAGCGAAGGATTCTAAAGTTGAATCACGAGCGCAGCGAGTGATTCTAAATTAGAATCCTGAGCGTCAGCGAGGGAAACAAACGAGCACAAGGTGAAAAATCTTTCCACTCGAGTGCAATACGTAACTTTTCATCCCACCTCAGCGAGGAAATGACAAAATGAAAAAGAAAACAATTTATAATGACAAAATATTTAAGCAATAAAACGTGAAAAACTAGAATGGCGCGAAGCACGCAAATAAAACAAAGAAACCAAGAAGGTTCCAAATTTAAATTTTTTCACAATTTAAAAAGTTCTAATCATAAATTTGGCACCATAGAGGTTACATTAAATAGGTTTAATGACGTTTTGAATTTACAATTATATTGAGTACTCATTATATGTGATGTTCTAAATTCAAATCTACTTTGCCGCTCAAGCGAATAAAATAGAATTTTCCAGCCAGATTTCGAAGCGCAAAATTACACTTTCCGAGGTGGTGGGATGAAAAGTAACTTATTTCTATTAAAATTACGGCGCCTTTCTGCTTGAAGCCGTACATTTAAATCTCTGCGCGCCTGTGCTTGTTCAGGTGTTACGAATGACCTCAAAAAAAGCTTGTCGTTGAGCTTGCTCATCAAGTCTTAGCTGAGTTTCAGTAGGTGTTTCTGCAGCTCTTAAAGCAGTTTGACTCCCCGCTTGTAGTCTTTGTTGAGACTGAACATCCATTCAGCGACTCTCAAATGAGCCTGCCGCTCTGTCTGCTCCTGAAGTCTTCTCTGTGTCTGCGACAGTGATTCTAAGGCCCTCAAATTCGCTTGACGTTCAGACTGTTCAAGACGCCTTCTCAGTTCAATTTCTTCAAGAGATTCTTGCGACCTAGTTAATCTCTTTGCTCGTGCTTGAGAGGATACTCTATAAAGGCTAGATTTGCGTTTGCGCGTCATTATTACGGTGAAGGTAAGTATCTGATTTTTTTTTTATTAAAAAAAATTACCTATTTTAATTACAACAGTATAAAAATGTTTTGTAAGCACCTACTCAACTTGTTTATAGTAGGTAGGTATTTAAAATCACCTATTTTCACAAAAACCCAAGATCAATGTGTTAAGTTAATCGTCAAAATGATTGCTTTTTAATATTCCTTTTTGTTTTTTTTTTAATTTTATTATTTTTATTTAGTTATTATTATTTTAATAACAAATACTTAACATATATTATGTAGGTATGTAGATAGGTAATTCGTATTTTATTAAAATCAAGGTATTTACCTATCTAGGTACCTGCCGAAATAGTATGCGCACTTAGTAGATAATGTAGGTAGGTACCAATCAAGGTAGGTAGGTTACCTATCTACAAAGGTATCTAGCAAATAGGCAGCCCTTCTTTCAGAGCAACAAAACCAATCGAAAACTACAATACCATATTATTACAAAAACCAATACCTACCTATGCGTTGCCTATCTTACTGGTAAAAATCGAGGCAGATAGGTTATAATATAATAATCGTAATTTTTATCAGTGAGCCAAATTTATACATTCGAAGAAACTACCAAAATACCTACCTAATTCATTTAATGCACAACAAAACCAAATCACAAAGGAAAACAAAAACAGATATGTAGGTAGGCAGGTACCTTGGTAAATCGTATTTCTTTAAAATCAATCAAGGTAGGTAGGTACCTACTGCTTGCTGTTGCTTACCTGCTGAAATAGTAAGCACTTAACACCACCACGTTGATTCTTCTCTAATAGCACAGATAACAGAATACTATTAAAAACAATAAATATAAAAAAGTAATGTTCATGAATAGCGCCATCCGAAAAACCTCAGATTTTTAGTGCAAGTAAACTTATTTTAATGACGGGTAGCGACATCTCTTCAGTTTCACACGCAACAGCTTGGTTTTCGAATTGTTATTCGAGTTGGTAGCGCCTACTTCTATTAACATCCAGGATCAATCTTCACTTGAAAATTATTGGATGATACTCGATTAAGGGACTAAAATAAATCATAACAGCTGTTTATTTAGTATCTGTCTACTGTAAACAGCTGATTATTTAATATCTATTTGATGTTATATTAGGACACTGAAGGAAGTCGGGTTTTTTACTAATATTGTTTTAATTAAAATATCTACCTACATCACGTTAAAATTAACAATAAATATTAAAAAGTCATTTTCATAAATAGCGCGATCTGAAAAAACGCAATATCACAACTCATATTTTTAAACAATTAAAAATACTCATTTTAAATAAGGGTGGTGCCATCTATTAAGTTACTCAAAAAATATTATTTCCAGAGAGACTACTCGGTTGAGTTGGTATTCGCGCCATCTCTTATTATTATAAGCAACATCCAGAATCTATAATCACTCGAAGAAGTTTTTTTTATATTATAAATTTAGAGTAGTATTTGCTAGATTTAATTTTAAAAATGAGATTAGAAAGAAATTGCGTAAAATTACCTCGATTTAATAAATGAAACACTAACACAAAATACTCGGTATTGAACACGAGTGGTGCCATCTCGTACTAAGATAGCAACTTCCACATTTCAAATTTAATCTGTCTTCGTGACAGTAGCGCCATCTCTATCGGGACCAACCATGAAAATGATTAATTTAGTTGAAAATTATGTAAATTCGAATAAATAAATTAAAAAAAGTAGGCTATAGCAGTCTCATAAGTTCAAGCTATACATTTACCAAATTTCAACCAAATCGGTTCAGCGGTTTAGGCGTGAAGAGAAGACAAACAAACAAACACACTTTCCCATTTATAATATTAGTATGGATAAATGACTTAGTAAATACTAGATCTTTTTCTGTTTGTATAAAAGAGTTATTCAGAAATAATGACAATAGTTCTGAAGACTATGTTAGTGCAATAGACCATGACTGATACAGCCTACTATAGTTACGGTTCTTGCGTTTAGATT